AAGAACACTGTCTCAACCTCTGCAGTGATTTCAAAGATTAGTAAAATTGGTAAAATCTCACTTAATGATAAATATTTCTCAGTTATTTAAGAAACTAAACTAAATGCGCAGTAACTTATATCTTAGTGATATGTGTTATTTTTGAGCCTATTGTTCGGTGAATACCCTATGCGTTCAGACGAAATCGTGAACAAATTTGATTCAGTTAATGGGAAAAGGTTCGTCAATGATAAAAACAGAACCAAAAGTTAAAAAAACTGCATAATATCTTATTATACTCGTTAGTTTGCATACTTGTTTGTATGTAGACAGGAATACAGAAGCAACAGGACGGAAGACTGAAGAATAGAGTCGATGGAATACGCACCTTTAAAGGCACACGGTTTCTTACCAGATAATAAGTACGTTTACAAGACATCAGTCTTCTACAGTAGTTATTAAAAAGACAATTGAAGCGAAGAAAATTTTCTTTTCGATGAAGTCATCATCTAGGCTGTACATTCGTGCATTTATATCAAACGGATGGGAAGTTCCAGAGTAATTTCCGGTTAAGGGTCAAAGTAATAAAAATTACAATTAGGAATTAGAATGCCATAATAAACAGGGGGACGGGTAAACCTCAAACAAAGTAGCATAATAACTAAGAAGATTGACATTGTGCAATTGGGGGTTAGAAATGTAGAAATAACAAAATATACAGGATTTTTGGATAAAAAACCAATATGATGAATAATTGTTTATGCAATCAGGGATTAAATATGTAGAAATAGTAAAATGACAAAATAAACAGGAAGAGTGGATATGAAAATATGGTAGTGTAGACAGGGATTAAGAAAAACTTAAAATAACATGGATAAACAAAAAGTTTAGATAAGTAGGGTGATAAGATTGTCATTACTAAAAAAATTTTACCTGTTTATGATGGCCATGGCAGGGACAGGGGCTGGACGTAATTCTTTTGGATACAAAGCGTGGGTTTGAGGTTTTGGATAGCTAGCGCCTCAGCTATGCCCAGATGTCTTGAATTGACTTCCTCTTCTACAGTAGTAAAGCTACTGTAGTATATGGAAACAGACATCTGGTAATACACACGTAGGCTCAGTTTTAAATTCATTCCGTCTTTGTCTATGGAAGCCGGATTTATGAACTGTAGGTCCAACCCAAGGATACGGGTTCAATTTCAAATTCTTTTTTTTTACTTTATGGGGTTTTTAATCGCTTCTCCATTTCCATAAAGCTTTACTGTCACCCACAAAAGCATATGGTATGAAAAGTGAAGCTGCATTTTTCGCATAACTAATTTACATATTGACACCTGAAAAACGAAGAACATTTCAAGTGTATATAACTCTCTTTAGTGACCTTTAAAGTCATGGTAACTGCGAAAATTTGAAATTATTGGTGGTTGATTCAGGTTACTACATGTTTTTTTTAATAAATCACAATTTTCGATGGATAAGTTCACCCTGGCCAACTAAAGCTATATTTGCATGTGACCTAATGTTAATTGCGGGCTACTAGACAAAGAAAATTTCTTTTTCCTAGAAGTTCTATGTGGTCTTCCACTCGACCAAGTTTTTTCCAAGTAACATTTTTTTAAATGCTACAGTAAAATTATTGGATGCAAAGTTAGATTATTCTTATACTAAGAGTATATTGTTCACTTCTCTTTAACTTCCTATTCGAATGAATAGTTCTTCGGAAGGCTGAGCTGACTTCATTGACACTGAATACGAATTTGGGACTCATCATTCATACATGCTGATATTTCCTTTGTTGGTGGTGTTATTAGTTTTGATTATCCCATGGGTTTAATTTAAGCTTGACCAATTTGTTCATTGTATTCACAGTTCGTCTCATTCGGTTGGTTGAAAATCACGCTTTTGGTACATAAATTATAATCTTCACAAACTCGTCAGTAAAACATCTTGTCACCTGTTCATCATTCTCTGTATATACCACGTGCCTTTAAATCTCTATGATTTAAAATAAATATAAAAATTGGGCACTGTGGTAGAGTATAACTCCATTATGGATAAGATTGTATTTTGATAAATCACACAGTGTTATGCAGTAATATTAACTGATGATATGATTATGAGCAATAGTTTGTGCTCGAAACGTCATCATTTAATATTACTGTATAACACTGTGTAATTTATCAAAATAAAATCTTATCTATAATGGAGTTATACTCTATGATTTAAATCCATCTCATTTGATTTCTTCTCATGTAATTATGAATTTGACTTTGCAGGTTATTCTGTTATGAAGCAAAAATTGTGATTTCTGTGGGAGTAGATATTCAAGATAACGATTCCACAATGTGGGTACGGTTTCGGCGGTCTTTCTGTTCAAATATACTTGAAAAAGAAACATTTAGATAGACTCATTTTCATGCACTTCTCCACAAACAAATTATCTACAGTAATACAGCAATAAGACCACCAAAGAATCTGCTGTGAAGAAGATAGTAGCATAGGGTTACATAATATCAGCAATCGTCTTTCTGACTGCCGAGCACTGCAGTCGGTAGTGGCTGACTAAAAGACAAAAGACTTGTATGGTCTACTGTGATTCGAACGATCGTCACGGTTTGTCTTACTATCTAAAACCAACAGCATTCAACTGAAGTTTGATGAAGTTTCTATTTATATTTCGATAATCAGTAGATAAAGGACACGCGTCATGCTGCTGCTTGGTGTAAATTTCTTACAAAGAAAACTGCGCTCACGGTTGTATCCACTTAATAACGTTCGGTGCACAACAAAAAACCGAAATGTGTCACCACCTAAATGAAAATGTGAATAGCATACCAGAATTATCGCCAAAGATGAAGTATTTCGAAATCCGTTACTTAAATCAATACCACACTGGTGAAATCTTTCAGAATTGACGTAGTCCAAAAATTAACAGCGTCATTTTACTCAAAACTACGTCTACCAAAATACTCAACAGAAAATAAGATGATATCAGATCATTTGAAATATAAAATACGACAACTGCGATGTGTGTAACCAACTTGAATATGCAATCTTCTGACACAATGGTATATATGGAATTTGTCCAAACATAAAATGGAAGTCACTTGAACAAAAGGTTAACAATAAAAGATATGATCACGAGATATTGTGTTAGATTCGGTCTCAAGAAAAACAGACTGACAATTGAGTGGTGCTTGCAGGAATTGGTTGAAAATTCGGGGAATATCCTGAGTGTGTTAGTAGACTTAGCGAATTTTGTCTTATCTTGGTGCAAAGCCACCTTTTTTTACTAATCTAGGTCAACGTTACCTGAAAAACCTTTTAATGAAACTCTGCTAACTTTAAACTGAGTCTAAACTCAACTACCGTTCATCTTCCTCAACGGCTTAGTAAGAAACAATGCCTGCTTATCATACAAAAAAATGATCGTCTCATCTTACTCCACGCAAACTACTGTTTATGCTTTATTTAAATATTTTCAAGTATTGGTTTTGAAGGGATTTTGTTTGATTGGTTGGAGGATTTCATCGTGAGCTGACATCCTTTAAATGAATATTGGGAAAACCTGGGAGTACTGGACAGCTGTCTCGTCAGACCGGTTTGGAACTCTTCATCACTACGCACCCACCGGGGTCCGAACCTATGACCTTCTGGATACAAAGCGAGCTCGTAGACCATTGAGCCAATGGGAGCCGATCCAATGGTCCATGAATTCTAACTTCTGCCAGTTCATGATGTAGTGCGACAACTTCACAATGACTTCTCAGATGAGTTACTGCCTCAATTTGAACCTGCTGTAAATATCGCTGACATTTATTACCTCCGTCTCCTGTATCAATTTCTTCCTCAGGTTGAACTGTCATAGGCGTCTTATTATTATTATTACTATTATTATTATTATTATTAGATATTGTCTCGTCTACCGTATTTTCAACTAGATTTGTCGGCATATATCCTTTATCAATTAATAATTTACGAGCGTTTTCAGTTTTCAAAAGTTGGTTTGTAGAGGTTTGATTGGTTACAGGATTTTCATCATGAGCTGACATTAGTTAGGGAACCATTGGAAAACCTGGGAGTACTGGACAGCTGTTTCGTCCTAGTTTGGGACTCTTCATCTGTACGCACCCACCGGGATTCGAACCCAGGGTCTTCTGGTTACAAGGTGAGCCCGAATGCCATTAAACCACTGGGACCCGATCCAATGGTCAGCCCATGAATTCTAATTTCTGCCAATTCACGACATACCGCGACTTCTAGCCAATATCTTCGGCGAGTATTTGTCCTCACACGCGACCTGCTGCACCCTTCTGTTCACGACTTCTCACTAGAACCTCAGGTAACTACCTACCTAGTGACTTGCCGTATTTCCCCTAAATTTCACTTCTTGAAGCGCACATTTTGTAGTGCATATAAAATGACAATGATACTGATGTTTACTGCTTTAATTCATTGCATTTATATCCTTAATTTACACCAATTTTTGCTTCCTTGGAACAGTTAGTTTCTTTTCTTTTCTAACAGTTTTAGAGTCAGGTTGTCTTCAGATGATGAGAACTTTGAAATTACAGTGACATCAACCTTTTACTGCAGGTTTCGTTCGACATTCTTTATCAAAACTTAACAAGGGATGCCAAATGTGTAAAATACAATAACTCTTGGATATGAAGTTCAGTTAGTAAGTTAAGATGTCACAATAGCATATGTAACTACTACGAAGAAACAGCTCATTTCCATCGCTTCACTGTGGCGTATCACATGAAACTAATCATGTTTTATGTATGAAAGATCTTAGAAACATGTAAGTGCCATTGGTAGCCTTTATATCCAGATTCCCAAAACCATTTGAAATTTGACGGAACTGAAGTAATAAAGTGATACAGTTTAAGTATAGAAAAAAGGGATTTATTTCGAATTACATTAACATTAAAGTGAAAATAAAGTTTATTTTTAAATTCGCTTTGTACTTAATCCATATCTGTTGTTCTTCTTGAATACCAAGCACAGAACGGAACCTTACGCCAAATCTAAACGATAAGAAAAAGATAAAATACAGTTTAGGCAGAGATAAAGTCAGACTGATATCATGTAAACATCAGGTGTCTTTTATATGGCCTTTTTATTTCTACTAATGGGTTGTAGTATTTTAAACTTTACAAACCAAACAACTAGCAAACATATTTACCTAAAATACTGTTGCATACCCCTAATTTTGTTTAATTTTTGGTAAAATCAGCCTGAAGCCTTAAAATAACTACATGTATCATGCAGTCATGAAGACATTTCCATTCCTCATTCATTTCAACAGAGGCTAGACTCTCACTAATGGGTAACCGTTCAAAATCCTCAATGAGTTTAATTTTTACGAGAGTCATTTGAAAAAACTAAATATTAAGCATCGTTGTAAATTATTTTCAATGTTGTTGAGAAGCTGAAATCATTCTGATTTTTTAATCCTGCTGCATTTGAAGTACTTGTACATCTCATATTGACAGGAATCCAAAACTTGTAAACAATGAAGTTATTTGCCTGACACCCTTTGGTGGTGGTCTTCGTGTGTAAGCGTTCAATATTATGGAGGAAAACAGATAAGTAATACTATCATTACTAGTTATAGAGTAAACTTACATATTCTAAAAATACAAAAAAGAAGTTCAGATTATGTTCCAGAGCTGTTTATATTGTTTTATGTAATTATTATTATTATTAATTATAATACTATTATTATTGTATCCTTTAATTCCTAGAGGAACATAGGGCTTCATCCGTGCGTCTCCATTGTGTTCAGTTCTCTGCTAAAGTTTTCATCTGGCTCCACGTCTACCCACATACTTTCATCTCCTCCTCCTTACATGACCTCCTCCAAGTCACCCTTGCACTGACGACCAACTCGCCGCTTCCCTTTCGGGTTCCACTCGAGCGATGGCTTGTCTAGTGATGTCACTTGATGGTTCCCTCAGAGTATGGCCAATCCATCTCCATATCCTTCTGCACATTTGTTTCACAATCGGTTCCTGGCTGGTTCGCTCCCAGAGATCCCTGTTGCTGATCTTTTCTGGTCGGCCATCTGATCTTGAGTAGTGAGCGAAGACAACTGTTAATGAAGGTCTGAAGTTTGTTTGGGATGCTTTTTATGACGCGCCAAGTCCCTGATCCATATAGTAGCACTGACTTCACATTGGAGTTGAAGTTCATGGTCACAGACAGCTGGATATGAAAAGATATATGTCTGTGCTCTATAGAATGGTGTATTTGTGTATGGGGAACAGTTGTTAACCATTTATTAACCTTTTCTTAAGAAGATACAGGCAATCAGGGATTTAGATCAAGTATGTTTAATTAGTAATACATTTATCTATTATTCAGGACTTGTCATGCATCCGCTAACATCACAACTTCATGTCTGTTCAAACTGTTGGGATTCACCCATATTTGCAAAGCTTCTGCAGTCAGTCTTTCCTCATACAAACAAAATCTTTCTGTAGAACCTTGGTCCTATCAAAGTCGATCTTGTGTCCTGTTTTATAGGTTTTCGGAACCAACGTAGACATTGTTTATGCTCTTTCACTCTTATATTTACCTGTCTTGAAGTTTATCCTACATATACAGCGTCACAGTCCCCACAATTGATCTGGTACACACAATTCTGTTGGTTGGCTTCTTCTACTTTATTCTTAACCTTCACCATTGATGAGCATAAGGTGTCCGTTGCACGAAAATTCACTCTTGTGTCATGATTGTTAAGGATTCTCTTTATTTCATCTGATGTTTCTTTGGAATAAGGAATCACCGCTGTACCAACCCAATTCTTAGCAACAGGTTTCAATCCATCCTTATCTTCATATTTTAAATATCTTCTTATGAAGGCTTTTGGGTAATTATTTGATTGAAGAGTGGATTGAACCAATTTCACTTCCCTCGTGATCTCTTCCTCCTCAGTAACTAGAGGTTTATCTCTGTTAATAAGATTCTTGGCCACAGTTAATTTGGTGATAAAGGGATGTGCTGAATAGTAGTCTAGGTATCCGTCCAAATTTGTCGGCTTCCTGAAGCTGTTTAAGTTAATCATCTGGTTGTATTAATACCAAACATTTCAGGAAAGCCAAATTATTTTTGTGAGATTTAATCTCTTTTGAAAACTTAGTCGTTTTGACATGTTTTTTATTAAATGAGAAACCTCATTCAAAGTACTGAGTTTGTTTATGATAAAGGCACAATCTTGGAGGATTAGAACATGTCATAATAATCGGCTGCTATCGGTGACACTCGAGATCCCATAACAGTACCTTCTGTTTGACAGTAGACAATCCCCTTAAATGTAAATAATTTTTTTCTCTTTTTTCGATAGCAGCTTGATGCCACACCGTATTTTCAGTACAAGTATGTCATTTTCAGCGTGGATATCGGTAGCCCAAATTTTGCAGGCAGACCATAGATATCGGGTGTGCGTCGGCAGGGGATCGAACCCCGGACCATGTGCATGGTCGGTGAGAGTCCTAACCACTGTGCCACCGACGCATAGAGCGTAGACATAGTTCCAATGATTTCATAATTTCATCCAGATTTAAAGGATAACAAACACCAATTTTGTGATCAGAACGAAGCGAATTGTAAATAATACTTATAGAATCCTCAATAGGAACACTCATCGTGTCCAATATAAGTCGTGTTGATTTTTCTTTCAAATTCATGCGAGTTCTTTACTCCACACTCCACTTTCGTTTGTAGGAACTCAGTATTTGTGAAATGTATTTGGAGAGTTTGTAGGTTGGGGAATTAGTAAAATCGACAACTGAACGTAATGAAACATCTGGTTTGTGTATTTTCGGCAATCGATAAAATCTTCCGGGGCTGTAAAGTTTCGGAGCCAGAGTAAACCAAAGTGATAAACTGAAATTATCTTTTATCAACTATAACATTTTGCTTGTTTCAGCCTTCAGTTTAATCAATGTCACCCTTGACTTTATCACATATTGACTTTTCCATAGGGTTCAATATTAAGTTGATCCATAGCTTTCTTTTCATAATCTGCAGAGATCATTACAACCATGATATTGTCTTTATCTGCTATTGTAATGATAGCTGATTTATCTTTCTGTAGTTTTTTTAATGCCAGACGCTCACTTTTGCGTATATTTGGCGAATCAGGCTTCTGATTTAGTAGTGAAGCTGTAATTTTGTGTCATATGACGTTTGCCTCTTCAGCTGTCAAACACTTCAACGACGGTCCAATGGACAAGGTTTTTAAAAACAATATGTCATTTTAGTTTTGATTAATTTTCCTAAAGAAGTTTGTTGAATGTTTTCATGGAACAAACAGCTGGAAATAAGCATGGATAGCAACAGTTTCGCAGCCGCCCATGTGAATATACAAAGAGATGTTTAAATTGTCAGTATCACCTAATGTCACACAATGACTGTGCGTGAAAATCAAGATATCATTTAAAAGAATTCCTAATGATTAACAGAGATTGCACTTACTTTGGAAAATTCTTGCAAACCAATTCGTTCAGCCCTGGAAAAGAATGCGTTTGACCTCTCATTATTCAAAGTAAAATATAGTATTGAGTTTAAACTATCGAAAAATGGATGCCAAATATTTTTCTCAGATCAGTTACCCAATATCATATAGCAGAAAAATTGAGTTACATTTACCTAATTTAAAGAAGCCAACATATTGATCTGGGTATGGAGAGGGATAAATCCAACTTTTGTGGATTAATCAGCCGTATGAAAAGCACTTTCCAGTAACGTTAAGGTATGTAGTTATGATTTTGGGCTAATCTACTAGTAATCCATTCGTTATTCTAATTACTCGAGAAATCAAAGCTGCTACGCTTTGCATGGAAATTCACTATATGATTATAAAGTAACAGGATTTCGTACTGCAATTGCATTGGCTGGATTTTGTTTGAAAATGATTACGTTTCACTGCTTATTATCAATCGTACTTTCAGAATGTGTGGTTTCATTTCATCTGCGTAGCAGCGTGTTTAGTGAACACGAAACAGTTCGGTGCTATGACACTATTTCAGATTCTTGAACAATTATCGCTACTTCTTTCAAGATTTAATAATACAACTTACTGCCTGTTAAAACCATTCTTGATAGGACTTTATTTGTACAAGCATGATTTATGCATGGTCTTTCGTATGAAGCGTCAAGGTAATCCATGAGAACTTGAGGTTCTACAAGTAAACCAATTTATTTGTGGATGTCATGGTACGTGTCTTGTTAGTAGTAACCTAGAGATTTTGTTGGCATGTTATTTTATTCTGAAAAATCACTGATCAGTCGCATGGAAATCAGCGATGCTAGGACTTAACCGTTATATGTACCGAGAATAAGGCAAAGCAAATGATTGTATAACACAAAGGAAATTGGTCAACGTAGATTATTCATTCGTTTTACATTTTAAGGAAATTCTAAGTATTTCAGCTTCTTTTCTGTTAGTTCATATTTCGAATACTTTAAATTGAAGTGATGCAGATAGCATATCGAAATAGTTTCGTACAAAGTAATGTTATGGCTTTGTTACATTTTATTATTACTTAGGCGGGTGACAGAAGTAGTTTTGACTATGATCATCATTATGCAAATAGTAAAGTCCTTTTTCAGCTTACTTTCTCTCACTACAAACAGGTAATAAAGTGTGAAAAATATCTATTGTTGAACAAGGTAAATACTTTAATGTGCAGCTACAGTTGATCAACACATTATACATATATATCTAGTTCAACTTATAATTTTAATGGGACTTAGTAACTTGTCCATTCATACAGTGATCAAATTATGCTTCAATACTGTTGATTACTCTTCTGCTTTGCTCATGGGTAAGTGCGGCTGTCAAATAAAAAATGGTTTTAAGTTTAAACATTTGTGCGCATGATATAAAAAATGTGTATTATTGATTATCTGTCTTCTGAGGGCACTTAGATGGGATTGTGACACAGTGAAAGGAAGATGTGAAGTAAACTCTTCCGTAATTGGTCAGAAGAATATGCGTGATTCTATTGCATAGTGGAAGACTTCTTGCTTATCATTTTCTACGAGATGAAGATGGTATTTTGTCTTTCGTAATGATAAGTTGCCTACAATCGAGAAAATCTGTACTTCAATTGAAATTAGTTTAGAAGATACATTAATTAAACACTTCTTACATGGATTAGCTTTATGAATGAAGGAGATGTTGTGATAAATATTAGAAAGACTGAAAATAAACTGTTGAGAATTTAAGCCAAAACAGCGAGGGGTATACAGCACATTCTTGTAAATGAGAATTGACTACTGAAAATTTCAGGGTAAATAGATGTGTAAAGTAATTTAACTTCAGAATAATTTGCTTCTTTGAATATCTAAACAACAGGCAGGTCTTGTTAAACTTATTGTTAATGTCTCCTGTTACAAAACACTAACTGGGTAGATTAACTTGAATCTCAGCCCAGATTTTGAAATAATAAGAATTAGTTCACAGCTAACTGCTCAACTTGGGTAAAGTTGATGAAGCCGCTAGTATTCACCAGTCTCTGTATTACTGTTGGATCCATCTGTAAATGCAATTTATAAAGTTCTGTAGTTGTATAGTAATACCATGTGAGGTTTAGTTGAGAAACCTTCTTTAATCCCTGTAAACAACATTATCTTCATAGCTGATATAAACGCGTTAAACAAAGCCAAACACGTTAGTGTACAAATTTAGCATGTGTGTAAATAATATGAACTTGTTCTATTTGTCTGTTTCCCAAAAACTTTCCAAGCGTACTTATGGAGGTTTTGCTTTCAAAAACCGCTCATTAGTTCACATACATACAAAGAAAGAAAGTACAGTGAAAACATGTTTCCTGCTTATGTTTGTGAAAAAATTGAATGAAAAGAGACTCAGGAATGCAAGATATCATAGAGTACACATTTAATCCTCAGAATTATACTCTTAAATATTTCTTAGACAAATTAGGTCACGTGAAAAGTGGAGTAGAGATTTGATAATACCAGTGATATCTTCGAGTGTCGAATAGGCCTTTCCAAAGATCAGTTATTCTAACATTTAGAACTCGGAAGACATCTGAGAAGTCCTATGCTTGAATAAACATTTAGATATATTGTATCCGTTATATAGGACAGTGAACGTTGATAACATTTTTGTGTAAATAAATACGAAAGTAGTTCACTCACGCTTATCAGTTTCTAAAAACAAGTTTGTTGCACAAAGATTAAGATCACTTCAATTATTGCTAAAATAATATATTTAAGAAAATAATTGAAATAATGGAGATTTGTAGCTCAGCTGGATGATTTTGCTTTAGTTGTGCTCTCCGAGCCGGGTGATTTGATAGCGAAGCTTTCTTTGTCCTCCTAGTCAACACCTTCAGTGCAGGTTTTAGTGAGAAATGAATATATTTGAATTCTCCATGAATGATATTATTATATCTCCTGATAATCATTGTAAGGCTCTTTGCTGAACCACCTGATTTGTTTTCATTTATCATATCTTGCACGGACCTACGTTCAGTTTTCCCCACAGCCTTCTTCATTCAAATAAAATCTTTTTTATTCCTACACTAAAATCTTCTAATTGTTGATTTCTGTATTTGGTGGAACGCAATTACTGCACCTTCGTGGTATCCACTATGAAACGTGGAACACGGAAAGTTCCAGAGTAAAAAACGTTACTCCACATCTTCGGAGGTATTTTACACTTTGAAGATAACGAATTATTGGTGTATGAAGAAATCCAGTATATCAGGCAAATAAACTGAATAATACGGAACGAATCGAAAGTAGTTCGAAATGTACACAAGTACGAATAAATGTTTATCCCACAAAAACTTACTTTAAACCGAAAATTAAAAATACAAATGAGAATTGGTTTGATTTGCAAGAAAGAAATTCATATAAACGTCATAACAACAGATTCAATATTGATGGGGAGTGACTTTTGCCTTAAGGTCAAATATATATTTTAATTGAAGACAGACAGAAAGATGCTGTTATGTTGCACTTGACAATACTGACTATCTATCTCATTCCATTTCAGATAGGTTTATTTGATATAACAAATAGTGATATATAGTAGTGATAAGTGGATGAGATGTCAAACAAAAGTATGACGCATCTGTTACTATGATATTAGGATATGGATAGTAAATTTCGAAACATAATCCAGTTGACAATACTGTAACACTGTGCGTAATACAAAATAAACTCATCTAGTATACAGTGATATTAGACAACATCGTCCAGATTCTACACTTGCATTGTCTATCTCCTCATTAAAACGTAATTCTAATTCCACCTAGTACGGCAGCGTATTTCTTAAAATGATCTGCTTTCTGTTCACTAATACCTAATAAAATTTGAATAACCGCTTTCCGAGCGCAGTTGTATGGCAGGTGTATTGAAATGTGTTAATCAACTCGAAACAGAAAATGATGATAGTACTGAAGACAGTTTCCACATGACTGAAGAGGTTTCCATCTACTTCAGATCTTGAGTAACTGTAAACAACCAATAGTGAACGCATTATGGTTCACTACATAAAATAACACGGTTATGTAGGATCTACGGGAATGAAGGTCACACACACATTTATTGAAAAGGGGTTTGACTGCAACAAAATGTGTAAGGGATTTATTTTCGCTGAGCTTTTATAACTCTGTATGTCACACTAGTTCCTATCTTAGATATATTTTTGAAATATGTAATGTATCAAAGGAGTGAATAAGTGACATCACTCACCTCCGGAAAAGGAGATCCAAAGCTTGATTTATCACTTTATTAGTGAAAGTTAAAAGTATAGAAGATAAAGCATAACAGATAAGTCATTTTCCATGCATCATGTACTCTGGATTCAAAAAGTGAAATAAATTTTAGTATTTCTAAAAAAACCCATCGTGAGCATTCACAGCTCTGTTAATGTGGGGATAAAATCTTGGAGTATTTAAAGGGACTAACACAGGCACTTTGTGGCTGACTACCAGAAGCACCATGTCACTTTGTATGCACGTGATTATGTCTGTATCATACGACTTTTAGCACAGATTTTAAACTATTCATAGCTTTTGTTTTCATTTCAGCCTGAAAATCAGTAACTAGTTTCAAAATCTGAAGTTTCCTTTTTGTGTTAATAAAGACATCTTTTAGAATGAAATTCCGAATATCTGGATAAAAAGTAATTATTGACACTGGAAAAAACCAATTGTCGGTTTCACTACAGCAAGCTTAAGGTGGATAAAAGGTTACATGAGTTATTTCATTTTAACCGTATGTAGGAAGAGTTATCTACACCTTTCATCTGTGCGTGCCAATATTACCATATTTACGAGAAATTAGTTCTTCATGTTGAGGAAGCTGGCACGTTTATTCTTTTAACAATGCTGCCCACTATTTTTTTAAGGGTTAGAATGAAAATTGTGAACTGTCCAGCTTCTTTAGTCATCATAAGTAAAGATGACAGAGGTGTATCAGTCATCTGAGACAAACTGAGACCATTTAAATGGAATGACATTTTCAGAGAAAACCAGTCTTTGTAAAAATGCCCCTAAACCGCTGAAATAAATTTTTAAAAATACAGTGTTTGTTGTTTTGTCATTGTAACTAGATTTTCAAGTACTTTAAATTCCACAAGTAGTAATGAATCAAGTTTGTCATCATCTGCCTTTACTAATAATGCTCACCTTTCTCAACTGAAAGAAGCAGTTAATAAAATCAAGGGATTCCTTCAATAGAAAAGCACATTGTGAGGATATATATATAGTAACTACTTTCAAACTTTACAATTACTGACACTTTTAGCGCTTTAACTGAAGTTTGTTTTAAATACTGTGTTCAGCTTCCTGCAAAACTCATACAAGGAAGCGAGAGAGACAGCAGTTATTCGAGACAAACTGTTACTCTGTTAATGAAGTAACAAATTTGAAAATAATATTAAATATTTAAACCTAGAAAAGTGGAAGGTCGGCCAAAAAACAGCTTGTAGCTTGGAACCTTATATTTCGCTCGAAATCCAAAGCACTAAATTTCAGTCTTGTCTATCAAATACTTAAGCTAATTTGATAATTGAGGACTAATACAGGCTTTGTTTTATTTTGATAATTCCTTCCTCAAATAATGATTTCTCCCCAATAGAAATAAACTTTAAATGCTATTTAAATACGTATCGGAATATGAATGTTTATCACTTACATATGTCTAAAAGATCATTTGAACACAATTTAGAGAAACTGTAATGTATTAAAGTCGTTTGAACTGAGATCATAGTTTTTTTGAAGTCGTTTTAACTGAGTGGTTCTATTTTAGTCTAAGTTTATAGGAAGAACTCATGATAATAAACACTTCCACATTCACATGTGTTTGTAAGTACGACAGTGTTTTCCTGCACGAAATGTTTCGTACGATGTACGACGCCGGAAACGCTACCCAGTTGCCAGCAAAATGAGAAAATATAGCATGGAAGAAGTTAGGATCTATGAGAGCAGATGGAATGGTTGTGGACTATCCGAATTGTCAGCTGGAGAGTCAGTAATCTACTCCGGTCAACCAGACGACAACGGCCAGCACTATGCCATAGTGGCTATCACGATACCACTAATAGCAGCCCAAGCTCTTGTGAACAGGCAACCAATCTCCCTCAGGATAATGACAGCAAGATTCAACTCAAAAGGAAGGAAGGAAGGTTACAATTATCCAATGCTACTCATCTACAAACAAAACAGACTCACTGGAAAAGAAGGAACATTTCTATAGACAACTACAAACGCTAATGGACAAAATCCCAGACGGTGACATCAAAATCCTGGCGGGCGAAATAAATGCCAGAGTGGGAGCAGATAATACAGGAAGAGCACTCATCATAAGTCAAGAGGTTCTGAGCGAAACGAACAAGAACGGAGAACTCTTCTCAGACTTCTGAGCCTACAGTGATATGGTAATCAAAGGCACCGTGTACAAGCACAGGATATACACGATGCCAGCGACATTGATTTCTCCTGACGGATACACCAAAAACCAGACAGATTTCATCTCACTGCTGCTTAAAGAAGTGTAGACGCAGCCTACGGGATACAAAGTCGAGAAGGGGAGCAGATGTGGGCTCAGACCATCATCTACTTCAAGGGAGCTTCAAGGTGAAGCTGAAATTTTTCAGAGGAACTGGACACAGGCTACTGAGATCCAAGTTCAGCATTCAGAAATTGAAGGACAAACCTACAAGGGATGCATTCATTACAGATCAGATCAGAGCAAAGTCACAGACACTAAGTGTTACCAACGAGGAAACCTGTGTGGAAGAACATTGGAACTAACTCTCTGAAGGTGATACTCAAGGAAACGTGTACAACTGTTCTGGGAAGAAAGAAGAGACAAGACAAGGAATGGCTTTCAACGGACACCTACTTGAAAGCTAATAGAAGAGAGGAGAGGAGGATGGTGAGAGAAGATGACTCAATGCAAAGATGGACAACAGAAGAGGAAGTTAATAGCAGTGAACACTGCACTGAATAAAGCAGTAAAGAATAGTGATGCGAAAGACAAAAGACAACTCTACGACAAACTGTCTGGCAACTGAAGCAAAACAGGCAGGCCACAGATGAAAGAGACCTCAGGAAATTATATCAGATAAACAGGCTGCTCGCTATCCGGGAAGACATCAACCCAGGTGATGAAACCAGTAAAAGATGCTCAAGGGAACCTAAATACCAAGGAGGAGAAAAAATAAAACAATGGGCTGATAACTTTAAAGGACTCTTGAATTGACCATCACCTGCAACTCGCCCGGAAGCACGGTTTCAATCACAGCCAGCCGAATAGATGAAGATTTCAAAGTTGGACAAAATTGGAAAGGCAAGATACACCTTTCTCACCTGAAATCAGTTTGGAAATCTTCTGCACACAGAAAAAACTACAAAATTTGGATTTTCAACACACTTGTGAAGTCACTTCTTCTGTAGGGATCAGAATCTTGGCGCATCACAAAAAGGATAGCCAATAGGTTGCAAACTTTTGTCAACAACCCTCTTTGCCCCATATTGGCCAGGAAGAATCATCAACTTGAATCTATGGTTATAAACTAACCAAGAACTTATAGTTTAACAAATATGTAGAAAAAAAGGGGATGGATTGGGCGCACACCGAGGAGACCGCTGAACGACATCACGCGCCAGGCCATGGCTCTAGAGAAATCTCAATGGGAAGCGACCAGTGGGCCGTCCCAGAGTGACATGGAGGAGAGCAATCCTTGACCCAGATGAAGAAGATAGCAGAAAATTGAACAAAGTGGAATGTTTAGCCTTATGTTCCACTAGGAACCCAAGAGGACAATACAATAAACAATATATCCATATTCCCCATAATTCTGGCTCTATGCATAATAATATTTAGTTATCTATTCTATTAGGCAGTAATGCAAAATGCAGTCGTATCGTTATATAGTTAAATTTAAGCCGAAGCGAATTCCTATAATTTCTCACTGAAAAATATATGAGAATAACTCACCTTCACTGTGTATCATAAGGTGAATTCGGATATGTAAAAAAAAGAAAAATAACAGATAGTGAGCGTACTGCAAATGAAATGAATACCATGCTGCCATGTCATGTTCGAAATCAGCTCAACTTCTGATGTCTTATTTAATACTAGAAAATCAGTAATACTGTTGTTGTGAATATGAATTTCAGTGAAACCACTTGTGAATAGACTAAAAAAAGCTATAAGTGATGTCTGCATTGCTTAATGCATCACTAGATTAATTATACCTACATACTACACTATAAAATATACGATGATATTTGTGAGGACTTCAGTGTAAGCTGACTAAGTTACTTACTACACTGTAATTCACGCCCGAAACCGATTAGTGGGTCACTCAGCATTTAAAATAGTTTTTTCAACAGTGAATGTATTTCTTCGAAGCAGCAGACGTCAACAATGTGTTTCATGGATAAGATTTAGTATATTCACTGAATCATATTGGTAGCGTATGTAATCAGTCAAAAACCAAAAATTAATTGGGCCAATTACAAGCGCTTTCAGGCAAATCAAGTTGTGGAGTATGAAATTACGTCCTCTCAGTAACTCTTTTGTCAGTATGATTACACAGTAACACAACATTTAATTATTCCTATACTGTGTCATAATTCTTGCGATATTCCAATGAACTCAAGCTATTATAGCAAATCTGTCCACATCACACTGTTGATATTAAATATTACTGTGAACAGTCATTATAATGATAATCTGTTTGTCCTTGTAGAGCTTACTGAAATACATTCATTTGAGCAGAAATACTGTCCTTAATTACTATTTCTGATCATTAAAGGTAGAAATTTACAGTCCACCACATGAAGGCTTAATTTGTAGGCAGGTTGTATTATACGGTTTGTCAATTTTCTCTCTAAAGTTATCATTATCAAGTAATGTAAAGTACAGCTTACGATTTTAGTGTAGCAGGTATTAAACCACCACCTGAAACAGTTTTTAGAAATACATAACTTGGGTAATCGTAGTGTAATGCAAGACGTATTGTTAAGACATGTACAACAATGAAAATATAGACTCCATAGGTCTATACTCACTGAACAGATGGTATAGTTAACATCATCGACGTCTAATTTTCAGGGAATTAACTTTATAAGAAATTTTTTGAGATTACATCCGGGAACTAAATGCATACGTAACAACAGCTTAGGAAATCTAAAGTCAACGTATTTATTCGAAGATTTATTATTTTTGTTCTTACATTCATAAACCCTACCATTGAGTCAAGAGGACTGCATTGATGTTTTAAAACGAATAGGCTGTTGTATCAGTTATTATCACATGTTCGTTAGTATGGTTACTAGGTAATGATTTGAAAATATGCTGAACATTGTGACAGGTGAAGTGAAATGAAGTGCACATGTGAAATGGATTAACTAGATTTACACAATGTTGTTTGAATAAATGACGTCTTCCGAATGGTCGATAATTATTATCAGGATGTTTTATTCTATCTCAGTATCATCCAGAAACTGATAATTCTGACTGCCTTTTCTCTGACTTGTGGGCGTAAAAGTGAGAACCATATTACATACAGCAAAATTAGATAACTTTGATACAATAACTGCTGGTACATCTCTGACTGGTTTCACCCCTCATATGAAATGATGTATATGAACGCCCTGAACTGTAGCGAAAAATATTTTGAAAATCATACACCAAAATCAGATGTTCTCGCAGATGAGTTTTTACGCTTCAGAATATTTTTTATAATATTTAGACTTACTGTAACTGAAAAGTATAACCATTATAAAATTTGTGTGATTAGTATTACTTTAAACTGTGGTTTGTTCATAGCCAAGAAGGTTTTCATAACTGTAATAACTAGCACCGTTGACAACAGAGTGTAGGACAATTTTACTTTATTTTTTTATTGGACGTATCACACAGTGTGGACATCACACGCCAGGCCATCGCTCGAGTGTAACCTGAATGGGAAGCGGCGAGTTAGTCGTTAGTGCAAGGGTGACATGGAGGAGGTTATGCAAAGAGGGGATGAAAGCATGTTGGCAAACATGGAGACAGGTGAAAACGTTGGCAGAGAAGCAAACGCAATTGAGACGTGCAGCTGAAGCCCTGTGTTCCTCTAGGAATTAAAGGAAACAATAATAATAATTATACAGTGTGACAGTACTGTATACTGGGAGCCTATTCAAGCACAATTTATTGTTTGTAATTATGTAAATTGTATTAGAAACATCATCCAGTAAAGAATCTGTATTACACATACAAGGTGTACATATATATATATATATATACACTATAAGAGCCACTTAGACAAAAAATTACTGTTCAATTAGAGATAGCTGCATATGGAACATTTATGAAAAAAATGTATTTCTGTATTGCTTACCGCGATACAAGTCCAAGCAATGATGATACTGAAGATAAATAAATATTAATTTATTATCTACTTGCCTCTAAACATCAATCTGTGGATAAAATGTTAAACTGGTGACAAACAGAGATCTTCCATTTCCTTGTTCAGCTCCAGATTGAACATAAGAAAGGAGTATTTAATTTGAAGTTTTAACTATTTAATTCTGTATGGACTTTTCCGCTGATTGACTGAACTGGAGTGCTAGGCCTCAGATTGACATTTCGGCTCCATGTGCAGATGCTTTGACGATGTCTGAATATTTAGACTGAAGTAAATTAGTGGATGTTGACATCTTCAAATCATCCGCACAATGAGCCGAAATACCAACCTAAGGCGTAGCACTTCCATCCAATCAATCAACAAGAAATTTCATTCTAAATTTATTACTTACTGAGGCTCTTTGCGTAAGAGGCGGCCAACGTGGTTCAAGTGGTCTAGTGGATAACGCCTTTCAGTTTGAAACTATGATCAATGGGCCTCAGCCTCGTGATAAAACCATCACTAACTGTGGAGTGCAGGTAAATCTAGCTGATGAGTCCCAAATAGGACGACATGTGGATCCTGGATTCCACTGCTAGTCACCACTCATTAGTTTACTTCAAATTCGAAATTGTGGCTGTTTGGAAACAGTAAAGGACGAATTATGATTTCCCTTAGAGCCGATAAAAATACGAATGTATATCAGCTGGTTTTGATAGTAACTGCGACATACAATATAAACAGGATGATGAATGCTCCCTCTCACTTCACCGAATATTTTTATGCGTTGAAAGTTGACACTTTATACATGTCAACAGATAAGTTGGTGGACATGTCTACATCTCCGAAAAGTTGTGCACATTGTTATGGCAGTTTCACACTTTAGAGTATATTCATTTCAGCATGGTTCTAACAGTCACAAAGTAGCTTTCAAAATATGCTTCATTCTTTACGTACTTGTTGTCTAAATTGTTGTGACTATGTGTTCTGGGCGAACTATTGGTAGCTTAACGTTACAACACATTTTCCCTGAAATTATAGCTAACTTCTAAGCAAAACAAACGGAGTTTTCACCCTCATAGAGTTAATCAGTTTTTCCGTGTCAATGCACTTTTGTGGATTCATGATGAAAATTAAGAAACAATTGAAAAGACGGTTATTTTGGACAACATTTTATCTTAAACTCACGGCCGCCCCCTCTATAATACAATTATGAATTAAATATGCTTAAGCAAATGAACAACTGAACGTCTTGGGTGATTAAAATTCAAATGAATACGTTTTCTGATGAAAGTGCACCCGTGATCTATTTCGAACTAGATTTGCAAAATTCAGTGAGCATGAATATTACTACCACTGATTATCTGTTAATTTCAATTTCGTGAAGTGCTAACACTATTTAAAGGTGCCTGAAAAACGGAAAGCACTAAACAGTTCAAACGTACAGTCCCACTAGGATTTGTAGCTTTCAAATCGATATGAGAGGAAGGCGTGAACATTCACGACTTCAATGGTAAAAATAGTACACTTCATCTCTTTGTGGGATTTGTCACATGAATTCCACTACTGAGATACAAAACTGATTTAAACTCTTCGCATCTTGCAGTGAATGAGTTATGCTACAGATAATGGTCGACAGTTCGAGGTGTGATTTGGTTTCTATTGACTTCATTGAATTCAAGATTGTACTGAAAATACGACAAGGTAATAGGAAAAACAACTGAAAAAAAGAGACAACATCAAATCGTTTATTGATACTAATTATGGAAAATCGGCAGTCATGTTACATTTAAGACGAAAAGAGTTTATGGGCATTTTAGAAATTATATAAATGTCGTAATATCCAAATAAAACTGTCGGATGTGTTACTCACGCGCCACCAGATCCAGGGAAGAAATTTCCAACTGTGGAAGATTAGGAAAATTAGAGTTACGAATCTTGAATAAAAGAGTTTGTGAACCAATGTAGGTTTATGACACTGATTGTGTTGGTTTAATTTCAGGTCGGTACTATAACCATCATATTAGAGTCAGTCAGTCTGCTAGGTAGGGATTTGAAGATATATACTGGTTGCTTCACGGTACTGCCAAAGTGGTGACAATTGCAAGTTCTCACGGGAACGGATGAATTCCTTAATTCCACTGAAATTTTATACATTCAGATTGTGCTAATTATTGGGTTAGAAGATCCGAATTTCGCGAGTGATGATAATACTCGAAAACATTTTGTCAGTTTTCGAAGATAAATATCTTAGGGTCAGTTTATACTGGTTATTTACCAGCTGCACCGTTCCGTGTAATGTGGGGACAGTAGTGGGTTTCCAACCACATAAAGTAAGACACTGGCTGTGTAACATCACCTTTATTGTTACAATTGATTGTGGATATTCCTTATGATACTGATGTTCTATTTGATTCACATTAATTAGGTGATTAATTGCTTATTATCACATAATATTTATTACATAAAATACCAACTTTATCTGATGGAGTCAAACATGCATGGAAGTTCTAGGCAGAAAGAAGAGACAGGACAAACAATGGCTCACTACGGACACTTGGAAACTAATAGAAGAGAGAGGGATGGTGAAGCAAAAGATTCTCCAGTGCACCGATGAGCAACAAAAACAGGATTTGAACGCAAGCTACAAAACGCTGAACAAAAGAGTAAAGAAGAGTGCCAGAGAAGACAAAAGAAAGTACTATGAAACCATGTCAAGTGAGGCAGAACAAGCAGCAGGCAAAGGAGACCTCGCAACACTCTACCAAACTACTAGGTACCTATCGGGCAAACGTTTGACACAAATCAAGCCGGTGAAGGATGACAATGGAAAGTCACTCAACAAAGAAGTGGAGCAAAGGAAACACTGGGCTGAACACTTCAAAAAACTCCTATATCGACCAACACCTACAACGCGCCCAGCAATACCAACAACGGAGACAGAGCTACCAGTGAACACCAAACCCCCAACGAAATCAGAAGTCCTGAAGGCAATCAAGATGCCAAAAGCTGGAAAAGCAGCAGGACCAGATGGAATCCCAGCAGAAGCATTGAAAATGGATCCAGAGAAAATGGCGAACTTGATGACGCCACTACTGCAGAAGGTGTGGAAAAAAGGCAAATTACCCGAGGATTGGAAGAAAGGATACTTATTCAAACTACCAAAGAAAGGAGAACTAAGTCAATGCAAGAGCTGGCGCGGAATTATGCTCCTGTCCATCCCAAGCAAAATACTAAGCCTCATCATCATGGAGAGAATCAAACACGCCATGGATGAAAACCTTCGACCGGAACAGGCTGGATTCAGGAGGAACAAGTCATGCATTGATCAGATCGCCACATTACGGATCATCATTGAGCAAAGCTTAGAGTGGCAGTCACCTTTCTATCTCAACTTCATCGACTTTGAAAAGGCCTTTGACAGCGTCAATCGAGAGGTGATTTGGCAACTACTTCGCTACTATGGGGTGCCGCCGACAATTATACATCTCATCCAACAGTTGTACGACAATGCTGCGTGCCAAGTAATCCACAACGGGAAACTCACGGAATCCTTCGAAGTGAGGATAGGAGTAAGACAAGCTGGCTGCCTACTATCGCCAATGATTTTCTTGATTGCAGTAGACTGGATAATGCGACAAACAGTGGGCAATGAGGAAACAGGCATAAAATGGACACACACAAAAAACTTGGAGGATCTGGGCTTCGCCTATGATACACGTCTGATTTCCCACAAACTGGAAGATATGCAAGCGAAAAGCAACATGTTGGCAGAACAAGCATCCGGAGAAGATAGGACTTCAGGTGAACATAGAGAAAACAGAGGTAGTGAAGATTCCTGGGCAAAACAGCAACAGCAACAACAACGACAGACAACAATCGGCATAAATGGGAGGAACCTGAAAGAAACAACCTCCTTTACCTACCGACCGGGATGCATCGTTTCAACTACAGGCACACGGAACTGACGAGGATATCAAAGCAAGGATCGGGAAAGCAAGACAAGCTTTCACTACTCTCAAGTTTGTGTGGAGGTCAACAACACTCAGCATCAAAAATAAGATCCGGATTTTCAACTCCAATGTGAAGTCAGTGCTACTCACTATACGGATCAGAGACTTGCACTGCGCGTCATAAAGAGCATCTCAAACAAACTACAGACCTTTATTAACAGTTGTCTTCGCTCAATACTCAAGATCAGATGGCCGGCCAGAAAAGATCAGCAACAGGGATCTCTGGCAATGAGCGAACCAACCAGGAACCGATTGTGCAACAAGTAGGCAGGAAGAAATGGAGATGGATTGGCCATACTCTGAGGAAACCATCAAGTGACATCACTAGACAAGCCGTCGCTCGAGTGGAACCCGAAAGGGAAGCGGCGAGTTGGTCGTCAGTGCAAGGGTGACTTGGAGGAGGTCATGTGAAGAGGAGATGAAAGCATGTTGGCAGACTTGGAGCCAGGTGAAGACTCTCGCAGAGAACCGAACGGAATGGGGACGCACGGCTGAAGCCCTATGTTCCTGTAGGAATTAAAGGATACAATAATATTAATAATAATAATTATCTATAAACTCACCCACTCTGAATGATATACGTAACAAAAAGTAAAGATTGTTTTATGATTTGTAGTTAGCAGTTTCTACAGACTAATGTGACACTTCCGAAATCAAACTAAACCATATTTGATAACATCTTTTGTATATTGTAGATTCCAAGTTTTCACATATGAGGTTATAAAGTAATCATTCAGGCATCCGAAACAGATGTAAATTTATGCATGCACAAAACAATTGGCCAACTTTTTTGCGAGTGATTGCACAAAGGAAGATAGTGAATTCGAATATTTAGCCAATGAGAATCACTGAAAGGGATTAGAAGTTGTTAATGAATTTGAAAATGTTAGAATGAACTTGACTAGTGTTCCCTTTTTGTGACAGGCTACATTATTAATTAGTATGTGAAATGCATGTACTGAGATACAGAGCTTTAGTGTTGACAATATTTCTTAACAATCACTCCCAAACATCTAAAAACTATGCAGAGTCCACCGTGATGGTAGACCACCTAAAATGGTGGCCACACTGCAAACTTAACAGATAGAAGTGAGGCTTGACCAACACCAAGGACTAAATACATGACATTAATTACTGAATAGTTTCAAATCAAAGTATTCAATATAGTCCTACAGCAGGTCAACCGCTAGCCTGAATAGCTCAGTGTTAACAGCTGTGATTGCATCATTGGTTGACCCCGAGTTTGAATCTCAAGAGAGAAATGAATTCCTTCAAGATTGCAGATACACCTCGCTGACATTTAAGAATTAGCATGAAACCTCAGTCTAAGGATTCGTGCTGATCGCCTCCAACCTTCCAACAAACATCTTTTCTTTTCTGCTAACGAAATTCTACAATTTGTGGATTATTTCAATTAAAAAACATTGTTGAGGGAATAGTTGTTACCTCGTATTCCATATGAATGTCATGCATTAGAAAGTAAAATTTATTTGCATAAAATGTCTAATAAATCCATGACATGTAATATTTCTCACCCCAATAATGAACTCATTAAATCACCAGAAGCTGAAAATAAACAAAAAAATTTACTCAATTATGAGAATATGCATTTAGTGTTTCTATGAGCTCGTTTATTTTGAATGAAAATTCAGCTTCAGTGTGGAACTATGACAGTGAAGAATAAAGAGTAGTAAATATACTATGTGCAGTGGGAGAAATCAGTCAACATAGTAAATGCTACAGTTTTGAGATAGTGTTCACTCGGTTGTAAGACTGAGAAAGGAATTTTGGGCAATGGATAAAAAGGGAATTATTATCGAATACCAATATTCAGATTTCCATTTGAAAACAATTTGAAAGGTACGCAGTGACGTGAGTAAGTTTTATTCTCTGGTGAAGGCATTTCATCTTGAGAAAAATAATAGTATCAGAAACTTTCACTGGTTACTGAGTTTTTGTGTTCTCCTTATCATATACATTGTTGTACACGTGCGCTTTGGTAGACGGAGAATAAACATGGTTTTCACTTTAGACATGCAATTAGTGTCACTGCATGGTCCTGAAGTTTAGTCTCTTACTTTTTCCACCATTGTTTGAACTCAAAATATTTTAACAGTTAAAAATAGTAGATGATAGTTTGAAGGATGTCGTGGATCTTGTTGAAGAGCTATTCGAGAAAAGTAAGTACCCATTTCCATACTGCTACAGTTTGGTCTTGTAGTTGTAAGTGGTGTTACATAGGGTCTGCTTCATTTGAATGAAGTTGGTACATTCAAACTGTTACAGAATAATATGTGACTGACATTCTTTGCAGAAAAGGTGGTTTATCGCATTAGTTATTCAAGGGATACGGAATAGGGAATTACTCATCCCTGAGTCGACAGCTGTAGATGAAATAGTAGAATTATTTCATAGAGGAGGTAAAAAAGGTAGCTAACTTAGGCCAAACTTAAGAAAGATGTAAGACGACTATAGGAAACGTTATACGCACTTAGTTCTGACTTCATTAAATTGATAGTGAATGACGAAATAAACCGGTTTGAGAACAGGATTCAGAGGCAAGCATATTGAATTTTAAGAGACTGTTGAAAGATGAAAGTTCTGATTGAATAATATTTGTATATTTGAAAATGAATCGTGAAATTTCGATAACATCTGGCGTTAGTCGGAATGCGTTGAGGTTATTTATCTGATATTGTACTACTTATTTGTAGACAAAGTCACTAATTCCAAGATTGGGCTGAAGAAACGGGGATATCGCCATGTGCTGAGTAGCCTACTCACAAATCCTGCTTCATTGAAGAACAGGAAGAAGGATAGAAATTCCCCATTTTAAAAAATGTTAGAAACAAGATTATATCCCTGAGTAATAAAATAAATGACAGATTAAATACTCACGCATTGCAGCGGGGGATGATGCTGTAATATTCAAAATGTTAGATGAAGCATATAAATTAGTATGAGTGTACACACCAATGATGGGGTTACTCATAAGAAAACATATAAGGTATACTGAGAAGATAACCAGAGATAAATCAGAAAATGAAAAGAGAACAACTCAGTGAATTCAAAAAATGGCTACCAACTCTTTCGTAACTTTGCAGAACAGATTTCCGTCAGTACCCTGAGATCCATAGATGAAATCGACGTCAAGTATACACATTCACTATCTCTCTATATCACACACGAACAAAAACGAATTATTCGTCTATTTGTGCAGACAGCTTGGGGTGAGCGAGAGTGTAGACTTAGGCTTTTCAGGATGAATGTGGCACGGAATAAAATCTCGTCTAAATAGTTTTCTTAGACGATGGTGTGCGAGCCAGTATATACAACATTTACCCAGAATGTATTAGCATTCCACCGAGGGAGGGAAAAGCTCTAAGAAACCAACTGACAAAGTACTTAATAGTATTGATGAAATAATACGTAACTCATTGTTTCGTAAACACAAACCACACTTTTAAACAACTATTTTGATTTTATCATTACTTTAATTGAATCACTGTAGCCTAATCCTGATGATTGTCTTTTCTGATTTAGAATGTATTTCCTTCACTAGTCGCCAAATTTACTATACGACTCAGTTTTTATTCAGGTTTAATGTCCACTATTCGCTTAACTTTTCTTTGCTACCAACTTTTTTCATTGTTTCTATGAATTCACCTCAAAATTGTCCTCTACTGAAATCTTAGCACTAAAATCCTTTCAGATCCAGTGGTACACAATAGTGTTATTTGTATTATTCTAGGTGATGTAAGGAAAATGACTTCACGTTGTTTCATCTGATTTTAAATTTCCTTTAACTAAACATTAAGGTCTTTCAGTGAGGCCCTCGAACTAACATCTTTTGTTTTGTAAATTTAATTTATTCCACTGCAACAAAAACCTGAAATAAATGGAATGTGAACCAGCTGACTCAATCAGCTAATAATAATAATAATAATTTTTGCTTTATTCCAAAAACAGTATTAATGATACAGCAAGGAATTTTCAGCATTCAGTACAGTATTGCATCTAATTTACTCAAAAACGACAACAACAAACAAAAAAAATAGATAAACGGAATAATTAATACATAATAATGATAACGTTTTTATAGGAGCTATGTAGCAATTACAGTATAGGATAAGGAGAAAAATATAAAATTATAGTAATAATAGTAATAACAACTAAAATAAAAATAGCAAAGTTATAATTAAACGATAGAAAGGGTGACACCATAGAATTACAGAAAGATGAACAATGAAAGGGTCGATTCACTATGCTAATTACATAGTAACTTATATGTTTCACGTCTAACAGTGTCTTCATCACATAAAATACGGGCTAAGTACGGTATTGTAGAATGTTTGTACTTAGTGGTACGAGCATATAATTTCTTATATTGACTTCTCGTTCTACCTGATGAGATACAAGGGGATAATTGTGAATAAAGAGGGTGCAGAGGGTCTGACAGTACGGCCTTTGCCCAATTTTTACAGGAATTTACGTGTCTCTCGACTATGGTATTGGCGAGATCACGCAGTGGCAAACCACAAGCCCTACTCACAGCCTTTAATACCCTTCGTAATACGGCATAGTCTTTTTTAAGAAGCCCAGGAAAGATTAATGGAGAACAATAAAGTAAAATGGGTAAAATACAGGAGTTTAAAAATCGCAGAACTAAAGGTTGGCTGATACCTTGTTGTCTTAATTTTTTAATGTAGAAGGTAAGACGAAACATTTTCTTAGAGACCAATAAAATGTGAGATGACCATGAAAGGTCCGAGGAAAGAACTAATCCAAGGTATTTAATGCTTGATTTGGTTTCAATTTCTGTACCATCTATGCTACAGGCATCATGGGAACTAACTAGTTCATGTATGTCACGTCGATGGTTGAAGGTAAAGTTAACTGCCTGACATTTGGAAGGATTTAACATAAGACCATTTGACTTAGACCACATGCTGATGTCCAACAGAAAGCTATTAAGTTTGGAGCAGTCAGACTCAGAAGTGATAGGCAGTGATACAGTCAGATCATCAGCATATTTGACAAAATTGGTTTCGTTTGAATGTGGCAGGTCATGTAAGAAGAAAGAAAAAAGAAAGGGAGAGAGGACGGCACCTTGAGGAACACCGGCTTTTGTAAGCAAAGCAGAAGAAGATTTGCCATTATATGCAGTATACTGCATTCTATACTGCATTCTATCAGAAAAATAAGAATGCAACCAACTCTTAGCCCAGGATGCTGTGTGCGTCAAGGAGAGCTTATTTAATAAAAGGCCCCTAGGTACAGAGTCAAACGCAGATGTGTAGTCTAGGAAAGCACCACGAACATATTTGGCACCTTTGTCTAAACAAGAAACAACATTATGATATAAGACAACCGCAGCATCCAAGGTACTTCTACCATGTTTATATGCAAATTGCTTAGGGTCATTAAAAGCTTTCAATGAAGGTTCAAGACGAAGTAGACACATTAAATTAGTCTTTTGATAATCGCAATGCTATTGGTTCTCGTCAAATTTAACAAAATGGCATTATCGAATGTAATTTATGTCAGGAGTTTACTTAATTCCAGATATGATTTGTCAGGTTTCAAATGATTTCAGAGCATCTCTCTCGACGGTGATGAGTTTCACAGTCGTCTTCTAATATCAGGTAGACCTCTCTCACTGCAAATCAATTTCTGCATAAAGCAGTTGGGATAATTGCCAGGAAAAATGAAAGGCAATTCTACAAGATAGCAACCAGCAAATCAACCAGGAAACGCAGGCCACAGGTGAAATAGATTTCAGAACGTTTTACTGGATAACCAGGTCTCTATCCGCGAAGAATTGAACATAGATGGAATCAATACAAGATGACCAAGGGAACCCGATTCCCAAAGAAGAGAAGCAGAGAAATCAGTGGGCTGATCTTTTCAAAAGATTCTTCAACCGACCACCTGCAACTAATCCAGAATTACCACCAATAGCTACAGAACTGCCTGTGAACATCGATTGTCAAACAAAAGTGGAAATCCTGAATGCAATCAAGCTGAGTAGCCAGCAGGACCTGATGGATTTCGTTTTGAAGCACTGAGAAATGACCCAGTGACTTCAATGGATGTGCTCACGACATTATCACAAAAGGTTTACAAAGAAGGGGGGAAGAAAAGGTGCCTACAGATTGTAAGAAAGGATAGACACCTTGTCAGGCTGCCAAAGAAGGGCAACTTAGTCCTCTGCAAGAACTGGTGTGAAATCATGTTCTTGTTCACGCCATCTAAAACACCAAGTCGTGTCATCCTGGAGAGAATAAAAGATATATTGGATGCAGAACTCCCCCAACACAGAACGAACTGGCTGGATTCAGGAAAGGCAAATCATGTTCTGACCAAATTGCAACTCTACGCATCATCATCACAGAACAAAGCATGGAATGCCAAGCAAACCTCTACCTCAACTTTATAGACTTTGAGAAGGCCTTCGACAGACAGCGTTGACCGCGAAGTAATTTGGAAACTACTGAAGTACTACGGCGTGCCCCAAAATATTCATCAACCTTATTCAACAGCTGTACGACAACTGCACATGTCAAGTGATCCACAACGGAAAACTCAGCGAGGCGTTCGGAGTAAACACAGGAGTCAGAAAAGGGCGCTTATTATCACCAATGATATTCCTAATTGTGGTGAACTGGATTATGCGTCAGACAGTGGGAAACGAGAAGAAAGGGATATCCTGGACCGACGTGAAGAATCTAGAAGACCTGGATTTCGCAGATGATTTATGTTTGATGTCACACGAAATCGAAGACTTACAAGCGAAAACCGACAAACTGGTCGAAGAAGCAGCAAAGACGGGACTCCAGGTGAACACAGAGGTCATGAAAATTACCAAACAACAACAACAACAGCAGCAACATCCAGCGTCAATCACCATCAACGGGAGGGATTTGAAAGACGTAACTTCATTCACTTATCTAGGGAGCATTGTCTCAACCACAGGAGGAACGGACGAGGATGTCAAATCGAGAATCGGGAAGGCGAGAAACACATTCATCAACGTGAAACCAATCTGGAAATCTTCGTCACTCAGCATCAACAACAAAATTCGGATTTTCAATACAAACGTCAAGTCAGCTTTGCTATACGGATCAGAAACTTGGCGGGTGACAAAGAACATTTATTTCCAATAGGTTGCAGACCTTTATCAATAACTGTCTTCGCTCTATACTGAAGATCAGATGGCCGGAAAGAATCACCAACAAGAAACTATGGGGACAAACAAACGAAACAAGAACCAATCGCTCAACAAATATGGAGGAGAAAGTGGAGATGGATTGGACACTCGCTGGGGAGGCCATTGGGTGACATCGCGCGCCAGGCCCTCGAGTGGAACCCGAAAGGGAAGCGGCGAGTTGGACGTCCGAGGGTAACATGGGGGAGATCGTGTGGAGAGGAGTTGAAACAGCATGGCCTAACATGGATGCAAGTGAAAAAGTACAACAGAAGTCAGAAGCAAGTGGAGGCGTGCAGTTGAAGCCCTATGTTCCACTAGGAACCCAAAGGAACAATAATAATAACAGTCACCGATGATATTCGTAACTGTGTTTGTCTGGATTATGGTGAGACTTTGGGGAGCGAGAAGACAGGAATAAGTTGGACCGATAAGAAGACTCAAGAACATCTCTACTTAGTAGGTGATTTATGTCTTATGACACAAACATTCGAATGTGTACCGTTGAAATCCAACAAGTTGACAGGAGAAGCAAGAAAGGCAGGACATCAACTGAGCCTAGAGAAGACGGGGATGATAGAGATACCCGGCATCCAACAACAACAAGCACCAATCACTATCGAAGAAATAAATTTGAAAGAGGCCACTTCTCTCACTTGACGGAATCGTTTCTACTAAAGGCGGCACCGATGAGGATGTCAAAACCAGGATCAGAAAGGTGACACAGAATTTCATCACTCTAAAATCAGTTTGAAAATTCACTACGCTCAACATAGGGAACTAAACTTGAATTTTCAACACCGATGATAAGTCAGATGTTCTACATGGGTCAAATCTTAGCCAGCACGTCAAGGAAAGTATTTCTGACAGCCAGCTGCGGAATTTCATCAGCCGAGGCTTCGCTGGCACTACACTGAACATCAAATTGCCAGTCAAGAATGACCAGCAAACCAACCAAGAACTTACTCACAATAGAAAATGCGAAGCGAAATGAAGATGGATTAAAAAACCGCTGAGAGGTCCACTGGTTAATAGCGTACAAATGGACCACGAGTGCAAAATATGGGAAAGAGAAGATTAAATGATATGAAGAGTTCAGAATAGAAGATGAAATGATATTCGCAAACATTCGAGCGTCTGAAGAGGAGCTAAAAAAATTAGACAAAATGGAGATAAGGCTTTGTAGCAGTATGTTGAAATAAAACAAGAGAAAGATTAAACAAATAAATCTAATTAATATAGTTATAAAAAGATTAGAGAGGCAAATATGAGGCGAAATAATAAGTGAAATGATTGCATAAAAACTTACGTTGTACAGCGCTTGATGTTTCTGTAATATAACAAATGTTGCGGACAGAGTATAAATTAATTTGAATGCAAACACAAGCGATAGGATTTCCGATAATGAAAAAAGAAGGTGCTAAATGCACCCTAAAAAGAACATGTCAACAATCCGATGAAGCCTCTTGACTGACACCAGTTGTCTGCACCTCTAATTTACTTCAATGGTATTACACTTAAAAGCGAACAAACATGAACTGACATTCAGTTTTGGCTATTGAGAGAGGTACATTAAAATTAGGTTTTTAGCAACGACACTGCTATCAGTTCCCCTTCAATTCAACAAAATGCGACAAAGGAGTTTAAGCCTAGCTAGAAGTTTACTAATATCAAGTTAAATCTCATCATGTGCATGCTCCCATCACAACTGACAATCAGTAGAGCGTCAAGTTCTAGCTGCCAAGCAATGGTTACCAGTGAACATAAGGTTCCACCTATATTGTAACTCTATTCAAAAACAGGTACATATGAGAAATAACGATTTCAATGAAATAGTGAACCATGACTATGTCGAATGTGAGTTGCTAATTACGTGTTCTTCCACATATCCATGCATGGAGATAATTGCTTGCATTCTCGATTGCACATCTGATTGCACACAATGCCTCTTCGTCTTCGGCAGGAGAGACACATCAGTGAAAGAGAAATGAATACTACATTGTAACGAGTATATGTGTAGAGAGAGAGAATAATAGTCTATTAGTTACACTTACGTGGTGTTCTGTCCGAAGGCATACAATGTAAGACATTTTCATTTGTGGTGAGAAAATCAGTACAATTGAAGTTCATGAAGTCTTCGTTACTTTGAATGAAAACTGAGGAATTGAGTGAGCTGAACGAGTGGTTGAGAGGGGAATACTCAGGCGAAGAATGACCAGGAGAAAATGTTAGCTGAATGTGTGATTTCTGAACACAGAGTTCTCGACTAATCGACTATGCTGCAACACCTCTGCATTTGTGAAGCTCACATGAATGTACTGCACACAACGATGTTTCTGACATGTGGCATATCAAACTGAAGGCTAGATTAGCGTCTACATAATGCCGCCTGACTGATCAGTGTGGTGGTGTGGAACCATTTGTGGTTTCAGTCTCATCTTATCTCAGGATGTTTCTAACACAATTTGCCGTTCACAATTATATTAACTGATATGAATATATGGAATTACACACTGCCACCGTAGTGTCTCAATTTTACACCAATATATATCAACTGGAAACACCTCGTCCATATATGCGGAAGGACTCTCTCAAGAGCGCTGCTGAGCTTTGTTGGAATTCACCTTATAATGCTGTTCTAAAGGAGAAATCCTCTCAAGATTTCATCCAAACAGCAAAGGCATTTTTTCTCCACATTTCGACTGACCTATAGCCACAGGCTGGTGAGTGACCAAATGCGGTTTCATCGAATTAGTAATTTCACCAATTTCTGATACCAGTTTAAACTAGACTTCGAAGTGCATAACTCACTTGGTTGAGCTTGGGCTTAGAAAAACTCCGACTACAAAACAAGATACAGTGATTTGACATAAATGCAATATCTACTGAACACAACGTTGAATTTATCAGAAACCAATACATATCCTTAGGGGAGCGATTTCAGTGATTGTGTAGTGTGACAATTCCAATGTTATTGAAGTGCTTGAGCAGATGAGATTCGCAAGCCTGTCAATATCAGTACTGTGTGAATTTATAAACACTATCCACTTACAGATTGAAGCATCGAGGCGTTTAGCGAAACGCAAACATCGCGATCTTCGTGGACTTCGACATCATCAGAAATTCGAATCGCGACATATGCGCATTATGCATACACATGACTGAAAACTCAATCAGAAGTTAGAACACACGTAAATGTTTTGGTTGTATTAGTCAGTGAGTTATTGTACCAATGATCAAGTACATGAAGAGGAGAAGAGTAATTTTTTTATTTTTGTTTACAGCTTGATTCCAAACAGTATTTTGTTAGAAGTATGGAATTTTTAGCATGGATTTCGGTAGCCCAAATTTTATAAGCCGACCATAGATATCGGGTAGGCGTCGGCATGTAATCGAACCCCGGGCAATGTGCATGGTCGGCGGGAGTCCTAAACACTGTGCTACCGACGCTCAGTAGTAGTGGTTATGACAACAGTATAAATAACAGACATAAAAATTCCATAAGCTAGGCAACAAGCATTATGTTCAGTTAATCCTACCAATTGATGACACTAGGTTCTTCAGCATAGCACATTTCCGAATATACTGTCTCACATGAACGCCAGTGTATCCATCCATGGTATCAGTCGACACGAACAACAATAGCAATGTCTTTCTACTCTCGCATATGAACCATTCTACTTCTTCACAGCTCAAATGTTAGTCACTTTTGCCTCAACACGACTTCACGATTCTGTGACTAGTTTACAGGAATGATGACGATTTCGAATTTGACGACCACGACAACGATGATGATGATGATGATGATGATAGTAACAATAATAATTTGCTTTATTCCGAACCTGTACTTGTGATACAGATTGGAGTTCTCAGCAGTTTTGCTACAGTATTGCATCCAGTTAATACATAATCAATAAATAGAATTCTACATAGATTAATGATATCTCAGTTCATTATGACAACAAAATATTGGCATGTCGGTAGCAAAGCGACAATATTAACAATGACAATATCAATGACAATATTAACAATAAAATACTGAAAGTTTTCGTCAACTTACGAATACTGTGTTTCAGAAAATATGTGGAATTGGTTGACAATGAATCAATAACTCATTGGCCTGCTCAATCAATGCAACTGCTCTTCTAGAAGCGCGTGAAATAAACACGCGTATATTCACAAAGCCATTGTTAACCACAGTGATAACTTCAAACAAATAAATATGAGGCTGTGTTGGTTCATCTCTTCTCACAGTGTTTCATGTGTTGACTGTTCACGACGAAGACCTGTCACTCAATCCTGGTAGATGAAGAAAATCTTAGCAATACTCGGTCTCGAGATTTCATGGTATCAATCAGAGTGACGAAAGTTAATTCAATTGACAACTCCAAATAATTTATCATCCGTCCACCTCAAAACAACCACTCCTTCTACTGTCAACTGACACTCTTCTACTCTAACTAATAATAATTCGAATTCAATCCTGTGCTTTTATCACTGGATTTGGCTGACGGCACAATGCATGTGGGTAAGTCCTTCAAATGCAAGAGATTGTCAGTGAAGTAGATTTAAGACACACGTATTCCAATGCATTGGAATAACCTGTCAACATGTCTTATTCCAAGAGCCTTGAATTCGTCAATATCATCGTCTCTGGAATCACTTAACCTGAATTTTGTTGCCCTCACTGACTCCTCCTCACCTCTAGCTCTACATAGTCAGTTGAATAAGATGTGTGTGCAATTCAATTGACTGGAATAAATCCTCGCTGGCATGCATTGCTGAGGTGGTTATCAAGTCCGACTTGTACTTGTACCTTATACAGGTATCATCATGCAAGTCTTCTTACAGATAAATGTTGGAAAATTTATGTTCACATTGTGATGGAGTACAATGAATGAAACTAGCCATGAGATCACATAGAATGCTGTGATGCATCTTGACCAATTGTGTTGAAAGTGATGTCTTGCATATAGTAAATAGAGAATCTTTTGTCTAGTGCATTGGTCATGATGTGGCAACTTTAATGGCAGATTTGACTTACTCGGTTATTGTGCTCATTAAGCCAGGTGCTGGAATGAAATTTGATGGCAATGTATGGTTTTGTGTCACAGAAAGATCACAAGAATATAATAATACTTCTATATGCTCACTAATTCCTACTTAAGGTCTGTTAACATTATTATTGTTTCCTTTATTTCCTAGAGGATCATAGGGCTTCAGCCGTGCGTCTCCATTGCTTTCGGTTCTCTGCTAGAGTCTTCACCTGGCTCCAAGTCTGTCCACATGCTTTCATCTCCTCTTCACATGACCTCCTCCAAGTCACCCTTGCACTGACGACCAACTCGCCGCTTCCCTTTCGGGTTCCACTCGAGCAATGGCTTGTCTAGTGATGTCACTTGATGGTTTCCTCAGAGTATGGCCAATCCATCTCCATTTCTTCCTGCCTACTTGTTGCACAATCGGTTCCTGGTTGGTTCGCTCATTGCCAGAGATCTCTGTTGCTGATTTTTTCTGGCCGGCCATCTGATCTTGAGTATTGAGCGAAGGCAGCTGTTATTGAAGGTCTGTAGTTTGTTTGGGATGCTCTTTATGACGCGCAGTGCAAGTCTCTGATCCGTATAGTGAGTAGCACTGACTTCACATTGGAGCTGAAAATCCGGATCTTATTTTTGATGCTGAGTGTTGTTGACCTCCACACAAACTTGAGAGTAGTGAAAGCTTGTCTTGCTTTCCCGATTCTTGCTTTGATATCCTCGTCAGTTCCGCCTGTAGTTGAAACGATGCATCCCGGTCGGTAGGTAAAGGAGGTTGTTTCTTTCAGGTTCCTCCCATTCATGCTGATTGTTGTCTGTTGTTGTTGTTGCTGTTGATGGTGTTGCCCAGGAATCTTCATCACCTCTGTTTTCTCTATGTTCACCTGAAGTCCTATCTTCTCCGGATGCTTGTTCTGCCAACATGTTGCTTTTCGCTTGCATATCTTCCAGTTTGTGGGAAATCAGACGTGTATCATAGGCGAAGCCCAGATCCTCCAAGTTTTTTGTGTGAGTCCATTTTATGCCTGTCTCCCTCACTGTTGTTTGTCGCTGTTATCCAATCTACTGCAATCAGGAAAATCATTGGCGATAGTAGGCAGCCAGCTTGTCTTACTCCTGTCATCACTTCGAAGGATTCCGTGAGTTTCCCGTTGTGGATTACTTGGCATGCAGCATTGTCGTACAGCGGTTGGATGAGATGTATAATTGTCGGTGGCACCCCATAGTAGCGAAGTAGTTGCCGAATCACCTCTCGATCGACGCTGTCCGCTGAAGGCCTTTTCAAAGTCAATGAAGTTGAGATGGAGAGGTGACTGCCATTCCAAACTTTGTTCAATGATGATCCGTAGTGTGGCGATCTGATCAATGCATGACTTGTTCCTCCTGAATCCAGCCTGTTCCGGTCGAAGTTTTTCATCCAGGGCTTGTTTGATTCTCTCCAGGATGATGTGGCTTAGTATTTTGCTTGGGATGGACATGAGCATAATTCCGAGCCAGTTCTTGCATTGACTTAAGTCTCCTTTCTTTGGTAGTTTGAATAAGTATCCTTTCTTCCAATCCTCGGGTAATTTGCCTTTTTTCCACACCTTCTCCAGTAGTGGCGTCATCAAGTTCGCCATTGTCTCTGGATCCATTTTCAATGCTTCTGTTGGTAATCCATCTGGTCCTGCATCTGGATTGACTTCAGGAATTCTGATTTCGTCGGGGGGTTGGTGTTCAATGGTAGCTCTGTCTCCGTCGTTGGTATTGTTAGGCGCGTTGTAGGTGTTGGTCGATTTAGGAGTCTTTTGAAGTGTTCAGCCCAGAGTTTCTTTTCCTCCACTTCTTTGGTGAGTGACTTTCCATTGTAATCCTTCACCGGCTTAAATTGTGTCAAAAATTTGTGTCAAAGAAGTGTTAGTTCATTGCAAATCTCGGTCGACTGTTTCACCTCAGGTCTCTTGAAACACCGTGTTGGTAGCAAAGCTGAGACTGCAAGTGATGCAATCCCTGATTTACCTTGACGGAAAAGTAAATCTAAGCCCGTAATACTCGTGTATGACATGACATATTGCATCCGATATTCATTTTAAGTTCGACACAGATGAGATGGATGCAATCGTCGAAGTGGGCACGATCAATTTATACCTGATTGACAAGTGCTGAAAAGTATTCTTGTAGTATATATCCTGTTGTTTGTCAATCAGAATGCAAGGTAGGAAGAATATGAATTGCCAAGTAATATGAGATATCAGGATATTCGTATATTACAGAATATTTCCTGTGGATTCTTCTGTATGCTACGCCTTTACAGAAGACAGTGTGTCTGAACACCTAACAAATCATCATTACTGGAGGTCATGTGCAAATTACCGACAACCACTTTGAAATTTCCGTTCGTCCTGACACAGAACGTAGGTGGTGGATTTATTTTGATTTTGGTCAATGCACTTGGAGGATTTATCCTAGTGCCACTGTCAGTCGCACGAATTATACATATCACAGGGGTATTCGCTTCAGAAGCTGAACAAACAATACATATTATCAGTTCCATGTAAAAAACAACATTCAGAACTTCCGATAAAGCAATATGTAACAAGGTAGTGTGAATTCTGAAGGCACGGTATACACTTGCACGTGTGTGAACGTATGCGTACATATCTGCAGTCTGCATCTTGCAGACCACCCAATTACACTCCATCAGTCCTACACAGACTTATATTGTGCCATTTTTAACTGCTAGTGTCTCATCCAAGTATTTGTGTAAATAAAAGGGAAATCGCTCTTGCACAAGAGGTGGTTGACGCCTCCTTTCCTCGAGACAGAAATGCACAATTGCAGAATGTCATTCGTTGGGAATTTACAGAAATATCTAACAACACTACATCTTGAAATTTAAAGTATAAATTCTTACATTTTTCACCAGGTTTCCCAGCTAAAATATTTTGCAAATTGAGAAGAGATACGTGAATTAACGTCGTGGCTTATAGTAGGCTTATATTAGGGTTATTTTTCGAAAGCAATCCCTGCAGTTTCTCAATTTATATGTCACTGAGATTCCTACATAATTCAGCTTTGCAGTCACCTCAGATTACAAATCGTCGCTACTTATGAAATCCACACGTCAGCTTTACAGCCTGCTTGTGGCATGGCATCAGTCTCATCGACACAGTTTTGCTAGATGACGGTGTGTCAGTCAGGCAAAGAAATGAGCAATTGCAAAATATTTGTGGTTGGGTATTCAGAGAAGCAGCTAACATTACTGCATCACTATGAAATTCAAAGTGTAAATTCTTACTGTTTGCAGGAGACTTCGGAGCTAAAATATTTCGAAATTTGGAAGAGATATGTAAATTGATTGCCAGGTAAACACAATATTATTAGTGTTATGGTTAAAGCCGATTTCGACAGTTTTTCAATGAACACGTTACTGGATTTTCACACGATTCAGCCATAAACTCACATCGAATTACAATTTGTCTGACAACACTGTGGACTCAAAGGGCTTCTTTTCTCGTGTGCACAGGTAATCGGCATCCCATTTGACACTAATCCTCTGTTATACATTGAGATTACTGTGTCTGCGATTTAATTGATCCATAAACTTGTGCAATGGAATAGCTTATCGAAATGTCGATCACCGTCAAACATCACATAATATGTATCTCTGGGATCACTATTAATAAGCACATGTGTGCTGCGAAACAATGTTACCCTTACAAACCTTCAAATCCATTCATGAGTCAGACTTCGAATCCACAAATTCATTATTTCTTCCCAGTTTGTGAAATAAATATAATACACTGACTAGTTTGCTTTAAATGAACACGTCGGTCATTCAGTGAAGATCGTGAACTAACATCAGTCGTTCTGCAAGTTTAAATTACTTCATTGAAATTACACTTGAAATGAATGCAGTGTGAACCAGCTGGCTGAGTCACCTATCCAGAGGATAAATTGAATTAGGTTTTCAGTATGAACACTCCTGTCAGTTCTCGTCGAATTCAACAAAATGCCATCATCGAATGTCTGATGTGTGAGAAGTTCACTAACTTCCAGATATGCTTCATCACGTTTGGAATACTGAAGGTTTACGATTACCAGTCGGAATTAAAACTCTCAGGAGTCATTTCTTAACAGCACATGGATCTCTGTCACTGTAAATCATTTTCTAAGGATATTGTAAGCTCCTTCCAGTCCAACCAGTATGAAAGTCCTGCTCGAGTTATCTTTCTCTACTTGAGATTAGATCGTGAATATAGCCAAAGCCCACTCTCGGATCCACTACAACTGGCCTTATTCTCAACTCGCGGTGGTCATCCACCTGACAATATTCCTCTCACCTGTAGACCTATTCACAACTACCAAATAGAATCCGAAGTCACATGTTCAATATTGTGTATTGGATGACCTACTCACAGTTGATTGTTGGGCAGTGTCAGTACTGCTGCCTCGTCTGAGAATAGTGATCAGTACAGAAATTCCACAAGTAACGAAAATTGTTTACAAAAATTATTACACAAGCAATTATACCGCGAAGTCATAAGTTAAGTGATTGTTTAAATTCTTACTTTCTGAAGGGGCTGATGCTGCTATAATATAACAAATGTTGCGGACAGAGTATAAATTAATTTGAGTGAAAACACAAGCGATAGGATTTGTGATATGGAAAAAAAGAAGGTGCACTGCGAAGTTTACCGCAAATACATCAGAAAATGAACATGTCAACAATCCGATGAAGCCTCTTGACTGACACCAGTTGTCTGCACCTCTAATTTACTTCAATGGTATTACACTTAAAAGCGTCAAAACTTGAACTGACCTTCAGGTTTGGCTATTGAGAGAGGTACATTAAAATTAGGTTTTTAGCAACGACACTGCTATCAGTTCCCCTTCAATTCAACAAAATGCGACAAAGGAGTTTAAGCCTAGCTAGAAGTTTACTAATATCAAGTTAAATCTCATCATGTGCATGCTCCCATCACAACTGACAATCAGTAGAGCGTCAAGTTCTAGCTGCCAAGCAATGGGTACCAGTGAACATAAGGTTCCACCTATATTGTAACTCTATTCAAAAACAGGTACATATGAGAAATAACGATTTCAATGAAATAGTGAACCATGACTATGTCGAATGTGAGTTGCTAATTACATGTTCTTCCACATATCCATGCATGGAGATAATTGCTTGCATTCTCGATTGCACATCTGATTGCACACAATGCCTCTTCGTCTTCGGCAGGAGAGACACATCAGTGAAAGAGAAATGAATACTACATTGTAACGAGTATATGTGTAGAGAGAGAGAATAATAGTCTATTAGTTACACTTACGTGGTGTTCTGTCCGAAGGCATACAATGTAAGACATTTTCATTTGTGGTGAGAAAATCAGTACAATTGAAGTTCATGAAGTCTTCGTTACTTTGAATGAAAACTGAGGAATTGAGTGAGCTGAACGAGTGGTTGAGAGGGGAATACTCAGGCGAAGAATGACCAGGAGAAAATGTTAGCTGAATGTGTGATTTCTGAACACAGAGTTCTCGACTGATCGACTATGCTGCAACACCTCTGCATTTGTGAAGCTCACATGAATGTACTGCACACAACGATGTTTCTGACATGTGGCATATCAAACTGAAGGCTAGATTAGCGTCTACATAATGCCGCCTGACTGATCAGTGTGGTGGTGTGGAACCATTTGTGGTTTCAGTCTCATCTTATCTCAGGGTGTTTGTGCGAACACTGTGGAGTCTGCAGACAGATAAGCTGCACCGTATGCAATAAACAAGCTGGTCCACAGGAGCAATGAAATCGGTTTGTTCACAGGAACGAAGCAAGATCAGAAAACTGTGCGTCGTTAAGATTAGACGAATACTGGAGGATAGGCACGAACGTGGTGAGCATAATTTGCTGTCTATCGCCTCTCTGTCGCGTTGACAAAACATATGTGTGCACACGATTTCATTGTAATTTGGATGTCAAAATGAATGCATTTTTCCCACTGTAATCGTTCCACATTCTCAAATATTTAGTTATGTCTATGGATAACATGCACTTCATGATGAATGTGACTTTTGTTTCGTTTGAGGAGATGTGAAGTGATTGATTTAACCATGCAATGTGGAGACAATTCACAGCCAAATATTGGTCTGAATATATCATACACAAACACTACATCAAACCGTCTGCCCATTCCTTCAGTTAACTCGGATTGAACATTCACAGTCCACTTGTGCAGTCGGTTGCATTCGATTTCTGCTTCGGTGAAATTCCCGACTCAACAAGAATGATATAATTGAACAAGCAAGCAAGTGACATGAAGAGACGCCATGTGTTTGTCCTCAGTATTTAGGGTGTTTGTTCACTGAACAAACCGAAAGCTGTCCTTCACAGCATATTTCGCCAGCTCACAACACACAGCCTGATGTAAGTGAGCCGACGGCTTTGCAATCTCGTGGTATCACGAATGTGACAATTGTGGAATCGGAAGTAGTGAAGGAAATGGGGAGGGCGGGTAGAAGGTGTGTTGGTCCAATATACCAGTTGACATCGATATAGGTGAGAAGCGAGTTAGGTTGTGAATGTTTAAGAGAAATCGTGGAATGGAAGCGACAACTCCAACGATTCGGTCTGTCACAATTATCAGTCTAATTCATGACGTTCTCTATAGATTTTAAGAAACAACCTTTATTAGATGTCCTGTGAAGTGTTCAGTTGCCAGTTTTCACGTTAACTCTGCAACTCGTGGTTGAAAACGCCTCCATTGCACTTGGTGCTGTTAATACTTTTGCAATAAAATCCTCAGGTTTCAACTCGTCCACAGCAACATTGAAATTTAGTTCTTTTTCTAACACACCTATTTGTGTGAGAAGTAAGACCCTTGTTGTGAGATTGATAACACACTTCGTATTGTCAGCTGTCGACCACATCTTATTCCTGGCTTCACTTTGTTACAGGCAGAGGTGTCTCTCGCATTGGTTCGATGGATTTCTTCATCCGGGTATTCACTGATTCCTTGAATGACGCCGATTTGTCATTATGAGGGGATTGTAGTGTAAGAACATAGTCCTCGTCGTTGACTGTCTCCGTTAATTTCTGTTCCAACCGCTCAATTTCATTCCATACGGTGCACTATCTTCTCACTACTCCTTGAATCTCAACACAGATGTATAGGTTTCCTAGACACAAAATTACCAAAGTGAGTTGGTCTGTTGGATTTGGAGCTGGTTTACGCGTGAATGAATTCGTTTCTGATTTGTCGAATATTGAAAATATAATGGTTTGTAGAGGTTCTGCGGATCCTTTGCTCAGTCCTTGGACAGGAAGACCACAAGTCGAATTAATGTATGTGTAAAACGTCGACTATGTGACAGTGTGTAATTCCATTTGGTTCTGTTCCTGGAACATTATCCACAGTGACACAGTATTATCTGCGTGAGGATGTTTCGAACACAATTTGCCGTTCACAATTGTATTAACTGATATGATTATATGGAAATACACACAACCACCGTAGTGTCTCAATTTTACACCCATATATATACCAACTGGAAACACCTCGTCCATATATGCGGAGTGACTCTCTCGGGAGCACTGCTGAGCTTCGTTGAAATTCACTGTATAATGCTGTTCTAGAGGAGAAAACCTCTCAAGATTTCATCCAAACAGCAGAGGCATTTTATCTCCACATTTCGACTGACCTAATGCCACAGGCTGGTGAGTGACCAAATGCGGTTTCATCGAATGAGTAATTTCACCAATTTCTGATACCAGTTTAAACTAGACTTCGAAGTGCATAACTCACTTGGGTTGGCTTGGGGTTAGCATATCTCCAACTACAAATCAAGATACAGTGATTTGACATAAATGCAATATCTACTGAACACAACGTTGAATTTATCAGAAACCAATACATATCCTTAGGGGAGCGATTTCAGTGATTGTGTAGTGTGACAATTCCAATGTTATTGAAGTGCTTGAGCAGATGAGATTCGCAAGCCTGTCAATATCAGTACTGTGTGAATTTATAAACACTATCCACTTACAGATTGAAGCATCGAGGCGTTTAGCGAAACGCAAACATCGCGATCTTCGTGGACTTCGACATCATCAGAAATTCGAATCGCGAGATATGTGCATCATGCATACACATGACTGGAAACTCAATCAGAAGTTACAGCACACGTAAATGTTTTGGTTGTATTAGTCAGTGAGTTATTGTATCAATGATCAAGTAGCATGAAGAGGAGGGCAGTAGTAGTGGTTATGTCAACAGTATAAATAACAGATATAAAAATTCCATAAGCTAGGCAACAAGCATTGTGTTCAGTTAATCCTACCAATTGATGACACTAGGTTCTTCAGCATAGCACATTTCCGAATATACTGTCTCACATGAACGCCAGTGTATCCATCCATGGTATCAGTCGACACGAACAACAATAGCAATGTCTTTCTACTCTCGCATATGAACCATTCTACTTCTTCACAGCTCAAATGTTAGTCACTTTTGCCTCAACACGACTTCACGATTCTGTGACTAGTTTACAGGAATGATGACGATTTCGAATTTGACGACCACGACAACGATGATGATGATGATGATAGTAACAATAATAATTTGCTTTATTCCGAACCTGTACTTGTGATACAGATTGGAGTTCTCAGCAGTTTTGCTACAGTATTGCATCCAGTTAATACATAATCAATAAATAGAATTCTACATAGATTAATGATATCTCAGTTCATTATGACAACAAAATATTGGCATGTCGGTAGCAAAGCGATAATATTAACAATGACAATATCAATGACAATATTAACAATAAAATACTGAAAGTTTTCGTCAACTTACGAATACTGTGTTTCAGAAAATATGTGGAATTGGTTGACAATGAATCAATAACTCATTGGCCTGCTCAATCAATGCAACTGCTCTTCTAGAAGCGCGTGAAATAAACACGTGTATATTCACAAAGCCATTGTTAACCACAGTGATAACTTCAAACAAATAAATATGAGGCTGTGTTGGTTCATCTCTTCTCACAGTGTTTCATGTGTTGACTGTTCACGACGAAGACCTGTCACTCAATCCTGGTAGATGAAGAAAATCTTAGCAATACTCGGTCTCGAGATTTCATGGTATCAATCAGAGTGACGAAAGTTAATTCAATTGACAACTCCAAATAATTTATCATCCGTCCACCTCAAAACAACCACTCCTTCTACTGTCAACTGACACTCTTCTACTCTAACTAATAATAATTCGAATTCAATCCTGTGCTTTTATCACTGGATTTGGCTGACGGCACAATGCATGTGGGTAAGTCCTTCAAATGCAAGAGATTGTCAGTGAAGTAGATTTAAGACACACGTATTCCAATGCATTGGAATAACCTGTCAACATGTCTTATTCCAAGAGCCTTGAATTCGTCAATATCATCGTCTCTGGAATCACTTAACCTGAATTTTGTTGCCCTCACTGACTCCTCCTCACCTCTAGCTCTACATAGTCAGTTGAATAAGATGTGTGTGCAATTCAATTGACTGGAATAAATCCTCGCTGGCATGCATTGCTGAGGTGGTTATCAAGTCCGACTTGTACTTGTACCTTATACAGGTATCATCATGCAAGTCTTCTTACAGATAAATGTTGGAAAATTTATGTTCACATTGTGATGGAGTACAATGAATGAAACTAGCCATGAGATCACATAGAATGCTGTGATGCATCTTGACCAATTGTGGTGAAAGTGATGTCTTGCATATAGTAAATAGAGAATCTTTTGTCTAGTGCATTGGTCATGATGTGGCAACTTTAATGGTAGATTTGACTTACTTGGTTAGTGTGCCCATTAAGTCGGATGCTGGAATGAAATTTGATGGCAATGTATGAGTTTGTGTCACAGAAAGATCACAAAATATAATAATACTTCCATATGCTCAATAATTCTATCTTAAGAACTGTAAGTTCATTGCAAATCTCGGTCGACTGTTTCACCTCAGGTCTCTTGAAACACCGTGTTGGTAGCAAAGCTGAGACTGCAAGTGATGCAATCCCTGATTTACCTTGACGGAAAAGTAAATCTCTCGTGTATGACATGACATATTGCATCCGATATTCATTTTAAGTTCGACACAGATAAGACGGATGCAATCGTCGAATTGGGCACGATCAATTTATACCTGATTGACAAGAGCTGAAAAGTATTCTTGTAGTATATATCCTGTTGTTTGTCAATCAGAATGCAAGGTAGGAAGAATATGAATTGCCAAGTAATATGAGATATCAGGATATTCGTATATTACAGAATATTTCCTGTGGATTCTTCTGTATGCTACGCCTTTACAGAAGACAGTGTGTCTGAACACCTAACAAATCATCATTACTGGAGGTCATGTGCAAATTACCGACAACCACTTTGAAATTTCCGTTCGTCCTGACACAGAACGTAGGTGGTGGATTTATTTTGATTTTGGTCAATGCACTTGGAGGATTTATCCTAGTGCCACTGTCAGTCGCACGAATTATACATATCACAGGGGTATTCGCTTCAGAAGCTGAACAAACAATACATATTATCAGTTCCATGTAAAAAACAACATTCAGAACTTCCGATAAAGCAATATGTAACAAGGTAGTGTGAATTCTGAAGGCACGGTATACACTTGCACGTGTGTGAACGTATGCGTACATATCTGCAGTCTGCATCTTGCAGACCACCCAATTACACTCCATCAGTCCTACACAGACTTATAGTGTGCCATTTTTAACTGCTAGTGTCTCATCCAAGTATTTGTGTAAATAAAAGGGAAATCGCTCTTGCACAAGAGGTGGTTGACGCGTCCATTTCTCGAGACGGAAATGCACAATTGCAGAATGTCATTCGTTGGGAATTTACAGAAATATCTAACAACACTACATCTTGAAATTTTAAGTATAAATTCTTACATTTTTCACCAGGTTTCCCAGCTAAAATATTTTGCAAATTGAGAAGAGATACGTGAATTAACGTCGTGGCTTATAGTAGGCTTATATTAGGGTTATTTTTCGAAAGCAATCCCTGCAGTTTCTCAATTTATATGTCACTGAGATTCCCACATAATTCAGCTTTGCAGTCACCTCAGATTACAAATCGTCGCTACTTATGAAATCCACACGTCAGCTTTACAGCCTGCTTGTGGCATGGCATCAGTCTCATCGACACAGTTTTGCTAGATGACGGTGTGTCAGTCAGGCAAAGAAATGAGCAATTGCAAAATATTTGTGGTTGGGTATTCAGAGAAGCAGCTAACATTACTGCATCACTATGAAATTCAAAGTGTAAATTCTTACTGTTTGCAGGAGACTTCGGAGCTAAAATATTTCGAAATTTGGAAGAGATATGTAAATTGATTGCCAGGTAAACACAATATTATTAGTGTTATGGTTAAAGCCGATTTCGACAGTTTTTCAATGAACACGTTACTGGATTTTCACACGATTCAGCCATAAACTCACATCGAATTACAATTTGTCTGACAACACTGTGGACTCAAAGGGCTTCTTTTCTCGTGTGCACAGGTAATCGGCATCCCATTTGACACTAATCCTCTGTTATACATTGAGATTACTGTGTCTGCGATTTAATTGATCCATAAACTTGTGCAATGGAATAGCTTATCGAAATGTCGATCACCGTCAAACATCACATAATATGTATCTCTGGGATCACTATTAATAAGCACATGTGTGCTGCGAAACAATGTTACCCTTACAAACCTTCAAATCCATTCATGAGTCAGACTTCGAATCCACAAATTCATTATTTCTTCCCAGTTTGTGAAATAAATATAATACACTGGCTAGTTTGCTTTAAATGAACACGTCGGTCATTCAGTGAAGATCGTGAACTAACATCAGTCGTTCTGCAAGTTTAAATTACTTCATTGAAATTACACTTGAAATGAATGCAGTGTGAACCAGCTGGCTGAGTCACCTATCCAGAGGATAAATTGAATTAGGTTTTCAGTATGAACACTCCTATCGGTTCTCGTCGAATTCAACAAAATGCCATCATCGAATGTCTGGTGTGTGAGAAGTTCACTGACTTCCAGATATGCTTCATCACGTTTGGAATACTGAAGGTTTACGATTACCAGTCGAAATTAAAACTCTCAGGAGTCATTTCTTAACAGCACATGGATCTCTGTCACTGTAAATCCTTTTCTAAGGATATTGTAAGCTCCTTCCAGTCCAACCAGTATGAAAGTCCTGCTCGAATTATCTTTCTCTACTTGAGATTAGATCGTGAATATAGCCAAAGCCCACTCTCGGATCCACTACACCTGACATTATTCTCAACTCGCGGTGGTCATTCACCTGACAATATTCCTCTTACCTGTAGACCTATTCACAACTACCAAATGGAATCCGGAGTCACACGTTCAACATTGTGTATTGGATGACCTACTCACAGTTGATTGTTGGGCAGTGTCAGTACTGCTGCCTCGTCTGAGAATAGTGATCAGTACAGAAATTCCACAAGTAACGAAAATTGTTTACAAAAGTTATTACTCAAACAAATATATCGCGAAGTCATTGGTTAAATGATTGGTGATATCCTTACAATCTACATTGACTGATGTTCCTGTAATATAACAAATGTTGCGGACAGAGTATAAATTAATTTGAATGCAAACACAAGTGATTGAATTTGTGATATGGAAAAAAAGAAGGTGCACTGCGAAGTTTACCGCAAATACATCAGAAAATGAACATGTCAACAATCCGATGAAGCCTCTTGACTGATACCAGTTGTCTGCACCTCTAATTTACTTCAATGGTATTACACTTAAAAGCGTCAAAACTTGAACTGACCTTCAGGTTTGGCTATTGAGAGAGGGTACATTAAAATTAGGATTTTAGCAACGACACTGCTATCGGTTCTCCTTGAATTCAAAAAAATGTGATAATGGAGTTTAAGCCTAGCTAGAAGTTTACTAATATCAAGTTAAATCTCATCATGTGCATGCTCCCATCACAACTGACAATCAGTAGAGTGTCAAGTCTTAGCTGCCAAGCAATGGTTACCAGTGAACATAAGGTTCCACATATATTGAGAATATATTATTATTATTATTATTATTATTATTGTAACTCTATTCAAAGCAGGTACATATGAGAAATAACAAATTCAATGAAATAATAAACTATGACTATGTCGAATGTGAGTTGCTAATTACGTGTTCTTCCGCATATCCATGTATGGAGATAATTTATGTTTGATGTCACACAAGATCGAAGGCTTACAAGCGAAAACCGACAAACTGGTCGAAGAAGCAGCAAAGACAGGATTCCAGGTGAATATAAACAAGAAGGAGGTTATGAAAATAACCAACCAACAACAACAACAGCAGCAACATCCAGCGCCAATCACCATCAACGAGAGGGATTTGAAAGAGGTTACTTCTTTCACTTATCTAGGGAGCATTGTCTCAACTACAGGAGGAACGGACGAGGATGTCAAATCGAGAATCGGGAAGGCGAGAAACACATTCATCAACCTGAAACCAATCTGGAAATATTCGTCACTCAGCATCAACAACAAAATTCGAATTTTCAATACAAACGTCAAGTCAGTTTTGCTATACGGATCAGAAACTTGGCGGGTCACCAAGAGTATTTTCAACAGGTTGCAGACCTTTATCAACAACCGTCTTCGCTCTATACTGAAGATCAGATGGCCGGAAAGAATCACCAACAAGAAACTATGGGGACAAACGAAACAAGAACCAATAGCTCAACAAATATGCAGGAGAAAGTGGAGATGGATTGGACACTCGCTGGGGAGGCCATTGGGTGACATCACGCGCCAGGCCCTCGAGTGGAACCCGAAAGGGAAGCGGCGAGTGGGACGTCCAAGGGTAACATGGGGGAGATCGTGTGGAGAGGAGTTGAAACAGCATGGACTAACATGGATGCAAGTGAAAAAGTACAACAGAAGTCAGAAGCAAGTGGAGGCGTGCAGTTGAAGCCCTATGTTCCACTAGGAACACAAAGGAACAATAATTATAATAACAGTCACCGATGATATTCGTAACTGTGTTTGTCTGGATTATGGGGAGACTTTGGGGAGCGAGAAGACAGGAATACGTTGGACCGATAAGAAGACTCAAGAACATCTCTACTTAGTAGGTGATTTATGTCTTATGACACAAACATTCGAATGTGTACCGTTGAAATCCAACAAGTTGACAGGAGGAGCAAGAAAGTCAGGACCTGAACTGAGCCTAGAGAAGACGGGGATGATAGAGATACCCGGCATCCAACAACAACAAGCACCAATCACTATCGAAGGAATAAATTTGAAAGAGGCCACTTCTCTCACTTGACGGAATCGTTTCTACTAAAGGCGGCACCGATGAGGATGTCAAAACCAGGATCAGAAAGGTGACACAGAATTTCATCACTCTAAAATCAGTTTGAAAATTCACTACGCTCAACATAGAGAACTAAACTTGAATTTTCAACACCGATGATAAGTCAGTTGTTCTACATGGGTCAAAAACTTAGCCAGCACGTCAAGGAAAGCATTTCTGACAGCAAGCTGCGGACTTTCATCAGCCGAGGCTTCGCTGGCACTACACTGAACATCAAACTTCCAGTCAAGAATGACCAGCAAACCAACCAAGAACTTATTCACAATAGAAAATGCGAAGCGAAATGAAGATGGATTAAAAAACCGCTGAGAGGTCCACTGGTTAACAGCGTACAAATGGACCACGAGTGCAAAATATGGGAAAGAGAAGATTAATGATATGAAGAGTTCAGGATAGAAGATGAAATGATATTCGCAAACATTCGAGCGTCTGAAGAGGAGCTAAAAAAATTAGAAAAAATGGAGATAAGGCTTTGTAGCAGTATGTTGAAATAAAACAAGAGAAACATTCAACAAATAAATCTAATTAATATAGTTATAAAAAGATTAGAAAGGCAAATATGAGGCGAAATAATAAGTGAAATGATTGCATAAAAACTTACGTTGTACTGCGCCTGATGTTTCTGTAATATAACAAATGTTGCGGACAGAGTATAAATTAATTTGAATGAAAACACAAGTGATAGGGTTTCTGATAATGAAGAAAAGGAAGTGCTAAATGCACCCGAAAAAGAACATGTCAACAATCCGATGAAGCCTCTTGACTGATACCAGTTGTCTGCACCTCGAATTTACTTCAATGGTATAACACTTAAAAGCGTCAAAACTTGAACTGACCTTCAGGTTTGGCTATTGAGAGAGGGTACATTAAAATTAGGATATTAGCAACGACACTGCTATCGGTTCTCCTTGAATTCAACAAAATGCGATAATGGAGTTTAAGCCTAGCTAGAAGTTTACTAATATCAAGTTAAATCTCATCATGTGCATGCTCCCATCACAACTGACAATCAGTAGAGCGTCAAGTCTTAGCTGCCAAGCAATGGTTACCAGTGAACATAAGGTTCCACATATATTGAGAATATATTATTATTATTATTATTATTATTATTATTATTATTGTAACTCTATTCAAAGCAGGTACATATGAGAAATAACAATTTCAATGAAATAATAAACTATGACTATGTCGAATGTGAGTTGCTAATTACGTGTTCTTCCGCATATCCATGCATGGAGATAATCGCTTGCATTCTCGATTGCACATCTGATTGCACACAATGCCTCTTCGTCTTCGGCAGGAGAGACACATCAATGAGAGAGAGAGAGTAGTGAATACTCGAGTGTAACGAGTGTGTGTGTAGAGAGAATAATAGCTTATCAGTTGCACTTACGTGTTGTTCTGTACGAAGGCATACAATGTAAGACATTTTCATTTGTGGTGAGAAAATCAGTACAATTCAAGTTCATGAAGTCTTCGTTACTTTGGATGAAAACTGAGCAATTGAGTGAGCTGAACGAGTGGTTGGGAGAGGAATACTCAGGCGAAGAATGGTCAGGAGAAAATGTTAACTGAATGTGTGATTACTGAACACAGAGTTCTCGACTAATCGACTATGCTGCAACACCTCTGTATTTGTGAAGCTCACATGGATGTACTGCACACAACGATGTTTCTGACATGTGGCATATCAAACTGAAGGCCAGATTAGCGTCTACATAATGCCGCCTGACTGATCAGTGTGGTGGTGTGGAACCATTTATGGTTTCAGTCTCATCTTATCTCAGGGTGTTTGTGCGAACACTGTGGGGTCTGCAGACAGATAAGCTGCACCGTATGCAATAAACAAGCTGGTCCACAGGAGCAATGAAATCGGTTTCTTCACAGGAACGAAGCAAGATTAGATAACTGTGCATCGTAAATATTGGACGAATACTGGAGGATAGGCACGAACGTGGTGAGCATAATTTGCTGTCTATCGCCTCGGTGTCGCGTTGACAAAACATATGCGTGCACATGTTTCCATTCTATTGTAGATGAAGAAACGAATGCATTTTCTCCAGTGTAATCGTTCCACATTCTCAAATATTTAGTTATGTCTGTGGATAACATGCATTTCATGATCAATGCACCTTTTGTTTTGCTTGAGGAGGCGTAAATTGAGTGATTTAACCATCCAATGTGGAGACAATTCACAGACAAATATTGGTCTGAATATATCATACACAAACACTGCATCAAACCGTCTGCCCATTCGGATTGAACATTCACAGTCCACTTGTGCAGACGACTGCATTAGATTCCTGATTGAAAGTATTGTATGGAGGTTTCTGCTTCGGTGAAATTCCCGACTCAACAAGAGGGATATAATTCAACAAGCAAGCAAGTGACATGAAGAGACGCCATGTGTTTGTCCTCAGTATTTAGGGTGTTTGTTCACTGAACAAACCGAAAGCTGTCCTTCACAGCATATTTCGCCAGCTCACAACACACAGCCTGATGTAAGTGAGCCGACGGCTTTGCAATCTCGGAGTATCACGAATGTGACATATGTGGAATCGGAAGTAGTGAAGGAAATGGGGAGGGCGGGTAGAAGGTGTGTTGGTCCAATATACCAGTTGACATCGACACAGGTGAGAGCGAAGTTAGGTTGTGAATGTTTAAGAGAAATCGTGGAATGGAAGCGACAACTCCAACGATTCGGTCTGTCACAATTATCAGTCTAATTCATGTAGTTCTCCATAGATTTTAAGAATCAACCTTTAATGATGTCCTGTGAAGTGTTCAGTTGCCAGTTTTCACGTCAACTCTGCAACTCGTGGTTGAAAACGGCTCTATTGCACTTGGTGTTGTTAATACTTTTGCAATAAAATCCTCAGGTTTCAACTCGTCCACTGCTACATTGAAATATATTGTTCTTTTTCTAACACACCTATTTGTGTGAGAATTGAGACCCTTGTTGTGAGATTGATAACACACTTCGTATTGTCGGCTGTCGACTATGTCTTATTCCTGGCTTCACTGTGTTACAGGCAGAGGTGTCTCTCGCAGTGGTTCGGTGGATTTCTTCATCCGGGTATTCACTGATTCCTTGAATGACGCCGATTTGTCATTATTAGGGGATTGTAGTGTAAGAACATAGTCCTCGTCGTTGACTGTCCCCGTTAATTTGTGTTCCAAACACTCAAATTCATTATATACGGCGCACTACCTTCTCACTACTCCTTGAATCTCAACACAGATGTATAGGTGACCTAGTCAAAATATTAACGATGTCATTTGGTCTGTTGGGTTTGAAGCTGGTGTACGCGTGAATGAATTCGTTTCTGATTTGTCGAATACTGAACATCCGGTGGTTTGTTGAAGTTCTGTGGATCTATTGCTCAGTCCTCGGACAGGAAGACCACAAGTCGAATTAATGTATGTGTAAAACGTCGACTATGTGACAGTGTGTAATTCCATTTGGTTCTGTTGTTGGAACAGTATCCACAGTGACACAGTATTATCTGCGTGAGGATGTTTCGAACACAATTTGCCGTACACAATTATATTAACTGATATGATTATATGGGATTACACACTGCCACCGTAGTGTCTCAATTTTACACCCATATATATACCAACTGGAAACACCTCGTCCATATATGCGGAGTGACTCTCTCGGGAGCACTGCTGAGCTTTGTTGAAATTCACTTTATAATGCTCTTCCAGAGGAGAAAACCTCTCAAGATTTCATCCAAACAGCAGAGGCATTTTATCTCCACATTTCGACTGACCTAATGCCACAGGCTGGTGAGTGACCAAATGCGGTTTCATCAAATGAGTAATTTCACCAATTTCTGATACCAGTTTAAACTAGACTTCGAAATGCATAACTCACTTGGTTGGGCTTGGGCTTAGCATACCTCCGACTACAAATCAAGATACAGTGATTTGACATAAATGCAATATCTACTGAACACAACGTTGAATTTATCAGAAACCAATACATATCCTTAGGGGAGCGATTTCAGTGATTGTGTAGTGTGACAATTCCAATGTTATTGAAGTGCTTGAGCAGATGAGATTCGCAAGCCTGTCAATATCAGTACTGTGTGAATTTATAAACACTATCCACTTACAGATTCAAGCATCGAGGCGTTTAGCGAAACGCAAACATCGCGATCTTCATGGACTTCGACATCAGCAGAAATTCGAATCGCGACATATGTGCATCATGAATACACATGACTGAAAACTCAATCAGAAGTCACAGCACACGTAAATGTATTGGTTGTATTAGTCAGTGAGTTATTGTATCAATGATCAAGTAGCATGAAGAGGAGGGCAGTAGTAGTGGTTATGTCAACAGTATAAATAACAGACATAAAAATTCCATAAGCTTGGTAACAAGCATTATGTTCAGTTAATCCTACCAATTGATGACACTAGGTTCTTTAGCATAGCACATTTCCGAATATACTGTCTCACATGAACGCCAATGCATCCATCCATGGTATCAGTCGACACGAACAACAATAGCAATGTCATTCTACTCTCGCATATGAAGCATTCTACTTCTTCACAGCTCAAATGTTAGTCACTTTTGCCTCAAGATGACTTCACGCTTCTGTGATCAGTTCACAGGAATGATGATGATTTCGAATTTGACGACCACGACAACGATGATGATGATGATGATAGTAACACTAATAATTTGCTTTATTCCGAATCTGTGCTTGCGATACAGATTGGAGTTCTCAGCATTTTTAGTACAGTATTGCATCCAGCTAGTACATAATCAATAAATAGAATTCTACATAGATTAATGATATCTCAGTTCATTATGACAACAAAATATTGGCATGTCGGTAGCAAAGCGACAATATTAACAATGACAATATCAATGACAATATTAACAATAAAATACTGAAAGATTTCGTCAACTTACGAATACTGTGTTTCAGAAAATATGTGGAATTGGTTGACAATGAATCAATAACTCATTGGCCTGTTCAATCAATGCAACTGCTCTTCTAGAAGCGCGTGAAATAAACACGCGTATATTCACAAAGCCATTGTTAACCACAGTGATAACTTCAAACAAATAAATATGAGGCTGTGTTGGTTCATCTCTTCTCACAGTGTTTCATGTGTTGACTGTTCACGACGAAGACCTGTTACTCAATCCTGGTAGATGAAGCAAATCTTAGCAATACTCGGTCTGGAGATTTCATGGTATCAATCAGAGTGACAAAAGTTAATTCAATTGACAACTCCAAATAATTTATCATCCGTCCACGTCAAAACAACCACTCCTTCTACTGTCAACTGACACTCTTCTACTCTAACTAATAATAATTCGAATTCAATCCTGTGCTTCTATCACTGGATTTGGCTGACGTCACAATGCATGTGGGTAAGTCATTCAAATGCAAGAGATTGTCAGTGAAGTAGATTTAAGACACACGTATTCCAATGCATTGGAATAACCTGTCAACATGTCTTATTCCAAGAGCCTTGAATTCGTCAATATCATCGTCTCTGGAATCACTTAACCTGGATTTTGTTGCCCTCACTGACTCCTCCTCACCTCTAACTCTACATAGTCAGTTGAATAAGATGTGTTTGCAATTCAATTGACTGGAATAAATCCTCGCTGGCATGCATTGCTGAGGTGCTTATCAAGTCCGACTTGTACTTGTACGTCATGCAGGTATCATCATGCAAGTCTTCTTACAGATAAATACTGTAAAATTTATGTTCACATTGTGATGGAGTACAATGAATGAAACTAGCCATGAGATCACAAAGTATCCTGTGATGCATCTTGACTAATTGTGTTGAAAGTGATGTCTTGCATATAGTAAATAGAGAATCTTTTGTCTAGTGCATTGGTCATGATGTGGCAACTTTAATGGTAGATTTGACTTACTCGGTTATTGTGCCCATTAAGCTTGGTGCTGGAATGAAATTTGATGGCAATGTATGAGTTTGTGTCACATAAAGATCACACAATATAATAATACTTCCATATGCTCACTAATTCCTACTTAAGATCTGTTATTATTATTGTTTCCTTTAATTCCTAGAGGATCATAGGGCTTCAGCGGTGCGTCTCCATTGCGTTCGGTTCTCTGTTAGAGTGTTAACCTGGTTCCAAGTCTGCCCACACGCTTTCATCTCCTCTTGACATGACCTCCTCCAAGTCACCCTTGCACTGACGACCAACTCGCCGCTTCCCTTTCGGGTTCCACTCGAGCGATGGCTTGTCTAGTGATGTCACTTGATGGTTTCCTCAGAGTATGACCTGCAATCCACCTCCATTTCTTCCTGCCTATTTGTTTCACAATCGGTTCCTGGTTGGTTCGTTCATTGCCAGAGATCTCTGTTGCTGATCTTTTCTGGCCGGCCATCTGATCTTGAGTATTGAGCGAAGACAACTGTTAATGAAGGTCTGTAGTTTGTTTGAGATGCTCTTTATGACGCGCCAAGTCTCTGATCCGTATAGTGAGTAGCACTGAATTCACATTGGAGTTGAAAATCCGGATCTTATTTTTGATGCTGAGTGTTGTTGACCTCCACACAGAGTTGAGAGTAGTGAAAGCTTGTCTTGCTTTCCCGATCCTTGCTGCTTTGATATCCTCGTTAGTTCCGTCGGCCTGTAGTTGAAACGATGCATCCCGGTCGGTAGGTAAAGGAGTTTGTTTCTTTCAGGTTCCTCCCATTTATGCCGATTGTTGTCTGTTGTTGTTGTTGTTGTTGCTGTTGGTGGTAATGGCCAGGAATCTTCATCACCTCTGTTTTCTCTATGTTCAACTGAAAGAAGTCCTATCTTCTCCGGATGCTTGTTCTGCCAACCTGTTGCTTTTCGCTTGCATATCTTCCAGTTTGTGGGAAATCAGACGTGTATCATAGGCGAAGTCCAGATCCTCCAAGTTTTTTGTGTGAGTCCATTTTATGCCTGTCTCCCTCACTGTTGTTTGTCGCTGTTATCCAATCTACTGCAATCAGGAAAATCATTGGTGATAGTAGGCAGCCAGCTTGTCTTACTCCTATCCTCACGTCGAAGTATCCCCGTTGTGGATTACTTGGCATGCAGCATTGTCGTACAGCTGTTGGATGAGATGTATAATTGTCGATGGCACCCCATAGTAGCGAAGTAGTTGCCAAATCACCTCTCTATCGACGCTTTCGAAGGCCTTTTCAAAGTCGATGAGGTTGAGATGGAGAGGTGACTGCCATTCCAAGCTTTGTTCAATGATGATCCGTAGTGTGGCGATTTGATGAATGCATGAATTGTCCTTCTGAATCCAGCCTGTTCCAGTCGAAGTTTTTCATCCAGGGCGTGTTTGATTCTCTCCAGGATGATGCGGCTTAGTATTTTGCTTGGGATGGACAGGAGCATAATTCCGTAACAGCCCTTGCATTGACTTAATTCTCCTTTCTTTGGTAGTTTGAATAAGTATCCTTTCTTCCAATCCTCGGGTAATTTGCCTTCTTTCCACACCTTCTCCAGTAGTGGCGTCATCAAGTCCGCTGTTGTCTCTGGATCCATTTTCAATGCTTCTGTTGGTAATCCATCTGGTCCTGCATCTTGATTGCCTTCAGGAATTCTGATTTCTTTGGGGGGTTGGTGTTCAATGGTAGCTCTGTCTCCGTTGTTGGTATTGTTGGGCGCGTTGAAGGTGGTGGTCGATTTAGGAGTCTTTTGAAGTGTTCAGCCCAGTGTTTCTTTTGCTCCACTTCTTTGTTGAGTGACTTTCCATTGTCATCCTTTACTGGCATAAATTGCGTCAAAAATTTGTGTCAAAGAAGTGTTAGTTCATTGCAAATCTCGGTCGACTGTTTCACCTCAGGTCTCTTGAAACACCGTGTTGGTAGCAAAGCTGAGACTGCAAGTGATGCAATCCCTGATTTACCTTGACGGAAAAGTAAATCTAAGCCCGCAATACTCGTGTATGACATGACATATTGCATCCGATATTCATTTTAAGTTCGACACAGATGAGATGGATGCAATCGTCGAAGTGGGCACGATCAATTTATACCTGATTGACAAGTGCTGAAAAGTATCCTTGTAGTATATATCCTCTTGTTTGTCAATCAGAATGCAAGGTAGGAAGAATATGAATTGCCAAGTAATATGAGATATCAGGATATTCGTATATTACAGAATATCTCCTGTGGATTCTTCTGTATGCTACGCCTTTACAGAAGACAGTGTGCGTGAACACCTAACAAATCATCATTACTGGAGGTCATGTGCAAATTAACGACAACCATTTTGAAATTTCCGTTCATCCTGACACAGAACGTAGGTGATGGATTTATTTTGGTCAATGCACTTGGAGGATTTATCCTAGTACCACTGTCGGTTGCGCGAATTATACATATCACAGGGGTATTCGCTTCAGAAGCTGAAAAAACAATACAAATTATCAGTTCAATGTAAAAAAACAACACTCAGAACTTCCGATAAAGCAATATAACAAGGTAGTGTGAATTCTGAGAGCACGGTATACACTTGCTCGTGTGTGAACGTATGCGTACATATCTACAGACTGCATCTTGCAGACCACCCAAGTACACTCCATCAGTCCTACACAGACTTATATTGTGCCATTTTTAACTGCTAGTGTCTTATCCAAGTATTTGTGTAAATGAAAGGAAAATCGCTCTTGCACAAGAGGTGGTTGACGCCTCCTTTCCTCGAGACAGAAATGCACAATTGCAGAATATCATTCGTTGGGAATTTACAGAAATATCTAACAACACTACATCTTGAAATTTAAAGTATAAATTCTTACATTTTTCACCAGGTTTCTCAGCTAAAATATTTTGCAAATTGAGAAGAGAAACTTGAATTAACGTCGTGGCTTATAGTAGATTTATATTAGGGTTATTTTTCGAAAGCAATCCCTGCTGTTTTTCAATTTATATGTCACTGAGATTCCTACATAATTCAGCTCTGCAGTCACCTCAGATTACAAATCGTCGCAACCTATGAAATCCACACCTCAGCTTCACAGCCTGCTTGTGGCATGGCATCAATCTCATCGACACAGTTTTGCTAGATGATGGTGTATCAGTCAGGCAAAGAAATGAGCAATCGCAAAATATTTGTGGTTAAGTATTCAGAGAAGCAGCTAACATTACTGCATCACTATGAAATCCAAAGTGTAAATTCTTACTTTTCTCAAGAGGCTTCGGAGCTAAAATATTTCGAAATTTGGAAGGGATATGTAAATTGATTACCAGGTAAACACAATATTACTAGTGTTATGGTTAAAGCCGATTTCGACAGTTTTCCAATGAACACGTTTCTGGATTTTCACACGATTCAGTCATAAACTCACATCGAATTACAATTTGTCTGGCAATACTGTGGACTCAAAGGGCTTCTCTTCTCGTGTGCACAGGTAATCGGCATCCCATTCGACACTAATCCTCTGTTATACATTGAGATTACTGTCTCTGCGATTTAATTGATCCATAAACTTGTGCAATGGAATAGCTTATCAAAATGTCGATCACTGTCAAACATCACATAGTATGTATCTCTGGGATCACTATTAATTAATAAGCACATGTGTGCTGCGAAACAATGTTACACCCAGAAACCTTCAAATCCATTCATGAGTCAGACTTCGAATCTACAAATTCATTATTTCTTCCCAGTTTGTGAAATAAATATAATACACTGGCTAGTTTGCTTTAAATGAACACGTCGGTCATTCAGTGAAGATCGTGAACTAACATCAGTCGTTCTGCAAGTTTAAATTACTTCATTGAAATTACACTTGAAATGAATGCAGTGTGAACCAGCTGGCTGAGTCACCTATCCAGAGGATAAATTGAATTAGGTTTTCAGTATGAACACTCCTATCGGTTCTCGTCGAATTCAACAAAATGCCGTCATCGAATGTCTGGTGTGTGAGAAGTTCACTGACTTCCAGATATGCTTCATCACGTTTGGAATACTGAAGGTTTACGATTACCAGTCGAAATTAAAACTCTCAGGAGTCATTTCTTAACAGCACATGGATCTCTGTCACTGTAAATCCTTTCCTAAGGATATTGTAAGCTCCTTCCAGTCCAACCAGTATGAAAGTCCTGCTCGAATTATCTTTCTCTACTTGAGATTAGATCGTGAATATAGCCAAAGCCCACTCTCGGATCCACTACACCTGGCCTTATTCTCAATTCGCGGTGGTCATTCACCTGACAATATTCCTCTTACCTGTAGACCTATTAACAACACCCGATCAGAATCCGGTGTCACAGGATTGACAGCGTGTATTTTTTGATTCTTGAGCAGTATCAGTACTGCTGCCTCGTCTGAGAATAGGGATCAGTACAGAAATTCCACAAGTGACGAAAATTATTTATAAAAATTATTACACAAACAAATATATCGCGAAGTCATGGGTTAAATGATTGGTTAAATTCTTACTCTCTTTATTGTCAGATGTTGCTGTAATATAACAAATGTTGCGGACAGAGTATAAATTAATTTGAATGCAAACACAAGTGATTGAATTTGTGACATGGAAAAAAAGAAGGTGCACTGCGAAGTTTACCGCAAATACATCAGAAAATGAACATGTCAACAATCCGATGAAGCCTCTTGACTGATACCAGTTGTCTGCACCTCTAATTTACTTCAATGGTATTACACATAAAAGCGTCAAAACTTGAACTGACCTTCAGGTTTGGCTATTGAGAGAGGGTACATTAAAATTAGGTTTTTAGCAACGACACTGCTATCAGTTCTCCTTCAATTCAACAAAATGCGACAATGGAGTTTAAGCCTAGCTAGAAGTTTACTAATATCAAGTTAAATCTCATCATGTGCATGCTCCCATCACAACTGACAATCAGTAGAGCGTCAAGTCTTAGCTGCCAAGCAATGGTTACCAGTGAACATAAGGTTCCACCTATATTGTAACTCTATTCAAAAACAGGTACATATGAGAAATAACGATTTCAATGAAATAATAAACCATGACTTTGTCGAATGTGAGTTGCTAATTACGTGTTCTTCCACATATCCATGCATGGAGATAATTGCTTACATTCTCGATTGCACATCTGATTGCACACAATGCCTCTTCGTCTTCGGCAGGAGAGACACATCAATGAGAGATAGAGAGTAGTGAATACTCGAGTGTAACGAGTGTGTGTGTGTGTGTGTGTGTGTAGAGAGAGAGAGAGAATAATCGCCTATTAGTTGCACTTACGTGGTGTTCTGTACGAAGGCATACAATGTAAGACATTTTCATTTGTGGTGAGAAAATCAGTACAATTGAAGTTCATGAAGTCTTCGTTACTTTGGATGAAAACTGAGGAATTGAGTGAGCTGAACGAGTGGTTGGGAGAGGAATACTCAGGCGAAGAATGACCAGGAGAAAATGTTAACTGAATGTGTGATTTCTGAACACAGAGTTCTGGATTAATCGACTATGCTGCAACACCTCTGCATTTGTGAAGCTCACATGGATGTACTGCACACAACGATGTTTCTGGCATGTGGCATATCAAACTGAAGGCTAGATTAGCGTCTACATAATGCCGCCTGACTGATCAGTGTGGTGGTGTGGAACCATTTGTGGTTTCAGTCTCATCTTATCTCAGGGTGTTTGTGCGAACACTGTGGGATCTGCAGACAGATAAGCTGCACCGTATGCAATAAACAAGCTTGTCCACAGGAGCAATGAAATCGGTTTGTTCACAGGAACGAAGCAAGATTAGAAAACTGTGCATCGTAAATATTGGACGAATACTGGAGGATAGGCACGAACGTGGTGAGCATAATTTGCTGTCTATCGCCTCTGTGTCGCGTTGACAAAACATATGCGTGCCCATGTCTCCACTGTATTTTGGATGTCGAAATGAATGCATTTTTCCCACTGTAATCGTTCCACATTCTCAAATATTTAGTTATGTCTATGGATAACATGCATTTCGTGATCAATGCACCTTTATTTTTGTTTGAGGAGATATGAAGTGAGTGATTTAACCATCCAATGTGGAGACAATTCACAGCCAAATATTGGTCTGAATATATGATACACAAACACTACATCAAACCGTCTGCCCATTCCATCAGTTAACTCGGATTGAACATTCACAGTCCACTTGTGCAGTCGATTGCATTCGATTCCTGATTGAAAGTATTGTATGGAGGTTTCTGCTTCGGTGAAATTCCCGACTCAACAAGAAGGATATAATTGAACAAGCAAGCGAGTGACATGAAGAGATGCCATGTGTTTGTCCTTAGTATTTAGGGTGTTTGTTCACTGAACAAACCGAAAGCTGTCCTTCACAGCATATTTCGCCAGCTCACAACACACAGCCTGATGTAAGTGAGCCGACGGCTTTGCAATCTCGGAGTATCACGAATGTGACATATGTGGAATCGGAAGTAGTGAAGGAAATGGGGAGGGCGGGTAGAAGGTGTGTCGGTCCAATATACCAGTTGACATCGACATAGGTGAGAAGCGAGTTAGGTTGTGAATGTTTAAGAGAAATCGTGGAATGGAAGCGAAAACTCCAACGATTCGGTCTGTCACAATTATCAGTCTGATTCATGTAGTTCTCTATAGATTTTAAGAATCAACCTTTAATGATGTCCTGTGAAGTGTTCAGTTGCCAGTTTTCACGTCAACTCTGCAACTCGTGGTTGAAAACGGCTCTATTGCACTTGGTGTTGTTAATACTTTTGCAATAAAATCCTCAGGTTTCAACTCGTCCACTGCTACATTGAAATATATTGTTCTTTTTCTAACACACCTATTTGTGTGAGAATTGAGACCCTTGTTGTGAGATTGATAACACACTTCGTATTGTCGGCTGTCGACTATGTCTTATTCCTGGCTTCACTGTGTTACAGGCAGAGGTGTCTCTCGCATTGGTTCGGTGGATTTCTTCATCCGAGTATTCACTGATTCCTTGAATGACGCCGATTTGTCATTATTAGGGGATTGTAGTGTAAGGACATAGTCCTCGTCGTTGACTGTCTCCATTAATTTGTGTTCCAACTGCTCAATTTCATTCCATACGGTGCACTATCTTCTCACTACTCCTTGAATCTCAACACAGATGTATAGGTTTCCTAGACACAAATTTACGAAGTGAGTTGGTCTGTTGCGTTTGGAGTTGGTTTACGCGTGAATGAATTCGTTTCTGATTTGTCGAATATTGAAAATACAATGGTTTGTAGAAGTTCTGTGGATCCATTGCTCAGTACTCGGACAGGAAGACCACAAGTCGAATTAATGTATGTGTAAAACGTCGACTATGTGACAGTGTGTAATTCCATTTGGTTCTGTTGTTGGAACATTATCCACAGTGACACAGTATTATCTGCGTGAGGATGTTTCGAACACAATTTGCCGTACACAATTATATTAACTGATATGATTATATGGGATTACACACTGCCACCGTAGTGTCTCAATTTTACACCCATATATATACCAACTGGAAACACCTCGTCCATATATGCGGAGTAACTCTCTCGGGAGCACTGCTGAGCTTTGTTGAAATTCACCTTATCATGCTGTTCCAAAGGAGAAAACCTCCCAAAATTTCATCCAAACAGCAGAGGCATTTTATCTCCACATTTCGACTGACCTAATGCCACAGGCTGGTGAGTGACCAAATGCGGTTTCATCAAATGAGTAATTTCACCAATTTCTGATACCAGTTTAAACTAGACTTCGAAATGCATAACTCACTTGGTTGGGCTTGGGCTTAGCATACCTCCGACTACAAATCAAGATACAGTGATTTGACATAAATGCAATATCTACTGAACACAACGTTGAATTTATCAGAAACCAATACATATCCTTAGGGGAGCGATTTCAGTGATTGTGTAGTGTGACAATTCCAATGTTATTGAAGTGCTTGAGCAGATGAGATTCGCAAGCCTGTCAATATCAGTACTGTGTGAATTTATAAACACTATCCACTTACAGATTCAAGCATCGAGGCGTTTAGCGAAACGCAAACATCGCGATCTTCATGGACTTCGACATCAGCAGAAATTCGAATCGCGACATATGTGCCTCATGAATACACATGACTGAAAACTCAATCAGAAGTCACAGCACACGTAAATGTATTGGTTGTATTAGTCAGTGAGTTATTGTATCAATGATCAAGTAGCATGAAGAGGAGGGCAGTAGTAGTGGTTATGTCAACAGTATAAATAACAGACATAAAAATTCCATAAGCTTGGTAACAAGCATTATGTTCAGTTAATCCTACCAATTGATGACACTAGGTTCTTTAGCATAGCACATTTCCGAATATACTGTCTCACATGAACGCCAATGCATCCATCCATGGTATCAGTCGACACGAACAACAATAGCAATGTCATTCTACTCTCGCATATGAAGCATTCTACTTCTTCACAGCTCAAATGTTAGTCACTTTTGCCTCAAGATGACTTCACGCTTCTGTGATCAGTTCACAGGAATGATGATGATTTCGAATTTGACGACCACGACAACGATGATGATGATGATGATAGTAACACTAATAATTTGCTTTATTCCGAATCTGTGCTTGCGATACAGATTGGAGTTCTCAGCATTTTTAGTACAGTATTGCATCCAGCTAGTACATAATCAATAAATAGAATTCTGCATAGATTAATGATATCTCAGTTCATTATGACAACTAAATATTGCCATGTCGGTAGCAAAGCGACAATATTAACAATGACAATATCAATGACAATATTAACAATAAAATACTGAAAGATTTCGTCAACTTACGAATACTGTGTTTCAGAAAATATGTGGAATTGGTTGACAATGAATCAATAACTCATTGGCCTGTTCAATCAATGCAACTGCTCTTCTAGAAGCGCGTGAAATAAACACGCGTATATTCACAAAGCCATTGCTAACCACAGTGATAACTTCAAACAAATAAATATGAGGCTGTGTTGGTTCATCTCTTCTCACAGTGTTTCATGTGTTGACTGTTCACGACGAAGACCTGTTACTCAATCCTGGTAGATGAAGCAAATCTTAGCAATACTCGGTCTGGAGATTTCATGGTATCAATCAGAGTGACGAAAGTTAATTCAATTGATAACTCCAAATACTTTTTCATCCGTCCACGTCAAAACAACCACTCCTTCTACTGTCAACTGACACTCTTCTACTCTAACTAATAATAATTCGAATTCAATCCTGTGCTTCTATCACTGGATTTGGCTGACGTCACAATGCATGTGGGTAAGTCATTCAAATGCAAGAGATTGTCAGTGAAGTAGATTTAAGACACACGTATTCCAATGCATTGGAATAACCTGTCAACATGTCTTATTCCAAGAGCCTTGAATTCGTCAATATCATCGTCTCTGGAATCACTTAACCTGGATTTTGTTGCCCTCACTGGCTCCTCCTCACCTCTAACTCTACATAGTCAGTTGAATAAGATGTGTTTGCAATTCAATTGACTGGAATAAATCCTCGCTGGCATGCATTGCTGAGGTGCTTATCAAGTCCGACTTGTACTTGTACGTCATGCAGGTATCATCATGCAAGTCTTCTTACAGATAAATACTGTAAAATTTATGTTCACATTGTGATAGAGTACAATGAATGAAACTAGCCATGAGATCACAAAGTATCCTGTGATGCATCTTGACTAATTGTGTTGAAAGTGATGTCTTGCATATAGTAAATAGAGAATCATTTGTCTAGTGCATTGGTCATGATGTGGCAACTTTAATGGCAGATTTGACTTACTCGGTTATTGTGCCCATTAAGTCGGGTGCTGGAATGAAATTAGATGTGTCACAGAAAGAACACAAAATATAATAATACTTCCATATGCTCAATAATTCTATCTTAAGATCTCTAAGTTCATTGCAAATCTCGGTCGACTGTTTCACCTCAGGTCTCTTGAAACACCGTGTTGGTAGCAAAGCTGAGACTGCAAGTGATGCAATCCCTGATTTTTCCTTGACGGAAAAGTAAATCTAAGCCCGCAATACTCGTGTATGATATGACATATTGCATCCGATATTCATTTTAAGTTCGACACAGATGAGATGGATGCAATCGTCGAAGTGGGCACGATCAATTAATACCTGATTGACAAGTGCTGAAAAGTATCCTTGTAGTATATATCCTCTTGTTTGTCAATCAGAATGCAAGGTAGGAAGAATATGAATTGCCAAGTAATATGAGATATCAGGATATTCGTATATTACAGAATATCAACTGTGGATTCTTCTGTATGCTACGCCTTTACAGAAGACAGTGTGTCTGAACACCTAACAAATCATCATTACTGGAGGTCATGTGCAAATTAACGACAACCATTTTGAAATTTCCGTTCGTCCTGACACAGAACGTAGGTGATGGATTTATTTTGGTCAATGCACTTGGAGGATTTATCCTAGTACCACTGTCGGTTGCGCGAATTATACATATCACAGGGGTATTCGCTTCAGAAGCTGAAAAAACAATACAAATTATCAGTTCAATGTAAAAAACAACACTCAGAACTTCCGATAAAGCAATATGTAACAAGGTAGTGTGAATTCTGAGAGCACGGTATACACTTGCTCGTGTGTGAACGTATGCGTACATATCTACAGACTGCATCTTGCAGACCACCCAAGTACACTCCATCAGTCCTACACAGACTTATATTGTGCCATTTTTAACTGCTAGTGTCTTATCCAAGTATTTGTGTAAATGAAAGGAAAATCGCTCTTGCACAAGAGGTGGTTGACGCCTCCTTTCCTCGAGACAGAAATGCACAATTGCAGAATATCATTCGTTGGGAATTTACAGAAATATCTAACAACACTACATCTTGAAATTTAAAGTATAAATTCTTACATTTTTCACCAGGTTTCTCAGCTAAAATATTTTGCAAATTGAGAAGAGAAACTTGAATTAACGTCGTGGCTTATAGTAAGTTTATATTAGGATTATTTTTCAAAAGCAGATAAGACGGATGCAATCGTCGAATTGGGCACGATCAATTTATACCTGATTGACAAGAGCTGAAAAGTATTCTTGTAGTATATATCCTGTTGTTTGTCAATCAGAATGCAAGGTAGGAAGAATATGAATTGCCAAGTAATATGAGATATCAGGATATTCGTATATTACAGAATATTTCCTGTGGATTCTTCTGTATGCTACGCCTTTACAGAAGACAGTGTGTCTGAACACCTAACAAATCATCATTACTGGAGGTCATGTGCATACTAATGACAACTATTTTGAGTTTACCTTGCTCTTATATTACATCTATGTTATGTTGGTAGTGGTATTATTACTGAGCATTAATCTGTGATATATAGACTAACCTACTAAGGAAATATTCATCAACTTACACTTGGTAGTAGTAGCTGTAAAACAGAATGTCACAAGGATGAGCTTTTAATTATGCAGTATAATAAACTAATTATAACATATATTTGCTTAAATGAGGATTTCTATAAGATTTCGTTTTGTATTGATTTATCATGACGAAATGTAGTGCCTTATTACTGTAACATGAAAACGCAAAACCTTTTGAGTCATGCTTTATGTCTACTTGGTAGAATTATTTTACTTGATTTAAGATACTTTCAATAACATTTCACAAAGCTCCTAAGTGTCGGATGTTTTTTAAGTTTTTGATATAACAGGAGTCTTTGAAGTCATATTCAAGATCATTTCTTTAGTGTAGATTATCTGAAATAGATTTATGAAATAAAATTGTGCAAAACAGAAGGAGTCTTCATTGACGTTCTCTGAATTTTTAATTACAAGTTAACCGTCGTTTCCCTTACATCTTCAGAATTGAAAACATGCACATGATTTGAAGGTGTTTAAAGAATTATCTAGGACGTTGTTTTTTTTTATTATCCTCCTTTATTTCTTATCAGCAAATAAATGTGATTTTATTCTTGACTGCCTTAGTTTTCCAATAAATTTCAATTCATAATTCCCAGGTATTTCGGCAAGATTTGAGACAATTGCAAGTACACAAGTTGACGCCCAGTAATCAGAAAAACTCCGACTCAAGTGGAGACTCGCAATTAAACTCCTGAGTACCTGATAAGAAATGTTTAGAACTCTTCAGTTTTTCATAAACTTGGTCACATTAATATTTGATATAAGGTTCCCCTACTTCATAGTGTTTATAGTGTAGATGAAGTTCATTGGCTTACGTGCTCAGCTTTCAGCCGATGGTTCATGGATTAACATCCTACTACACCTAGTTCACCAAAGGTAGATGGGTAGCATCATCTGCCTTCACACGATAAGTGTGTCTGTTAGCTTAGTACACAAAAAGCCTTTCCGCGTAATTGCGAATAAACAGCAAATAAAAAGTGGACAAATCTCTGTCATTATCCAGTGAGGTATGAGTGATTTCATACACCATGCAGTATGACTCACGTATGGCAACTGAAATGGATATATAGTAAAGTATTTAATACAAAGAAATAACAAATATCAGATATTTAAGAGTAATAATTTATTCTAGCTTCAGTGTTTAAACCGATTGTGCCTCATGTTTTGGAAATAAGAACTGCTAAGGAAACATCTCGCTGCTAACAGTTCAAAATCATAGTTTTTACTTTAATTCACAGAACTACTGAGTGTTTATATCACAGACGTTATCTTCCTGGTTTCAGTTAGTGTTCTGTAGGTTCATAGTTTAAATTTATGCTACTCTATTAATTATTTATAAGCTTGGTTTCTCTAGCTGTTCAAATACTTGAGGGTACATGCAGATATCTTGTGAGAATTTAAACTTCTATGATGTGATAATAATTTCAGTTTATTCCTATAAAAGCTCTTCATACACATTGTAGATTAGGTGATAAATGTGGAAATCAAACCCAATGGCATTAAAGCTATACACTAATCAAAATTAGAATTCATTGTTATCTGCGTAGTGCTATGTTGAGTTGATGCATCTTCACCTTATGTCAATTAGTTTCTGAACTACGTGATACTCAGCAAGTTGCTTTTTCGCTTTGAATATAGATTTCATCTGGACCTAATATTTAATGGGTAATCATTGAAAGTTAGCAGTTTCGATACCTTGATTTTAGTATTTTCAACATTTGAAATCGGTTTCTGACTATTCGCGTTCAAATTCATTGGTTGATTTCAGATGAAGGGGGGGGGACTAAACTATTAAATTTTTGTCCCTTCAGCATACAGAACACTTATTATTCAATATGATTTTGGATGTTGTAGTCAAGTTTAACATGGTCAACGCAAAATTTGGCGGCATGCTGTCCTAATCCCAGCCACTTGTCTCCCAGTTTACTGGCACTTATTTTAATCATTAGTGTTGTGTTCATTGAAAGTTCATTTTAATGATAATTTTCGGTCACACATCACTGCGTAAAGCACATTTTTTTCAAAATACTCTTCACTGCACCACTGAACACTTCACTCAGAGTTGTCAGTAGACTCTGCAGGAGTTAACAGATGAGTCTGTCAACCGGAAATATTTTTTTAATATACTCTATTATGTTTAATAAAAACAGTTTCTCATTTCAGAAGATAACAAACTATTTCTCTTCTGTTATGATATTTTGTCAATTTGACTAACCCGTTTCTGTCGTCATAGTTGTCACTGTCAATAAATTTGGTGTTGAAACAAGAAAGAAATATTTAATATTTGATGAATTTTAAAAAATTTAGTTTCCATTTTAAATAAAAATTAATAAGTATTAGTGTACCACCAAAGAATTCATCATGCACATGGTTAAGAATCCACAGAGCAATATCCCTGTTTCAATATAGCATTACAAAACTTTCGTCACCAGCCTGGACATTCATAAATCTCATACTAATATTACTGTATCAGTTTACTAATAGAAACAAAAGAACAGTTTTTTCTTCTTTCCGGCTGTCGCTTACGCAGGAGTGGTGATGTTAATGACACAAGCTCAACACGGTGTAAGTGGCATTCAAGAAATGAAACTTCAGCACTTCTATAAAACCTATGCATATATTACATTTCGTAAGTAGCAAAGACGGCAGTAACAGAGTAATTAGCTATTAATTCTAAGGCGCTTCTTATAAAGAATATGTTTGCCCAAGTTGCATCAGTGTATATAAATTGAAATATGTTCCAGTTACTTATTCATTCCACTTGATAATATCATCCAAATACATTATTAACAGGTTATCAAATAGGGGTGAGTCTATGGGATTACTTTACTATGCTTCAGTAACGATAGCATTGTACGTACAACTACAGAACAAAGAGATCAAGAAATTCCTGCTTTGGGTAACTGGTAGGTGTTTTAAAACCTTTAATCTATTCACATAGTTACGTTTCTAAGTACAGAAGCATTCATTGTACGAATCCATTTCACGTTTGTATAACGTCTTAAAATAGCCGGTTATATTTTGCTTAAAACTAATCGGAAAGAATTAAGCAAAAATAGTTTAGGCTGTATTTTAAAAAGGACAACTGATAAAAAGTGTCTATGGAGTCCTCTGTAGAGAAAATACATTGATTATAACGCAACACTGATATAAAGACAAGTTATTTTAGCTAAGGCTTTTAAAATGATTTGGTTGTCAAAATATGCTGTGTAAATTAACATTATATAGTCAATTAATGAAGCTTCTAAACAAGCAGCAGTCTTGACTTTTATCCCCAGTAAATATTTGTGGAGAACGGTAAACGAGGAGTTATTTTCCTTTATTTTACAACATGTTTTCATTTGTTTAGGAAAAAGGAATAAATCAAAACTTTAATTGTTTACAAAACTGACTTATACAAAGAGACAAAATAGATCGTCATGTTTATTTAAGGTGAAGAATTTATCAGCACTGAAAATTATTTCAAACAGGTCACTCATATGGAAACAGAAAACAAAATTTCAACGCTTTTCTTATATAATTTTGTTTGAATACTGGAAGTCTTGTCCATTTAGTTGGTGACGTTTAACGACATCATTTGAAAATTCAGTTAGAATTCAGTGATTAAGAAAATGTTTTTGTAATTATTACCTCATCTACTCTTAACAAAGGTGCACCTTATCTTATCTGCATTCACAATTAGTGCTTTAAAAACATAGTAAGTGGCTGTCACGAAGATTAAAATTCGAAAATTAAAAGTAAAACTTTACGAGATAATAAAAGCATAGACCCACACATAGGACTTTTGACTGGTGACATTTCTACTCTGGTTTGACAGAAAGCTGAGTTAACAGAAAATTAGGCACGATTAGATTACCAGTCACAAAAGTGCTGGTACATTTTGTGATATGATAAAATAGAATGTAATAAAAAGAATTAGTGAGGAAGATGGATAACGTCATCAGATATCATCTCACATAATCGGATTAGATTTTTTTATTACGTCAGAATAAACAAGTACTTCATTTATGACATAATAAAATAAAGAAACTTCATTGACAGTGTGAATAAAAATAAGCATTTATAAAGGTAATACTTTCATATCGCTGGCATATAGAGAGCGTTCAAAAGGCTGACAGTTCACTGAATGGTGTTTAAAACTGTAATGACCATTTTGAAATGTGGGGTACTTGTACAGTATTACATTGACAGGAAATTATCTTAGGAATAAACCACAGTGTGTAAAATATCATGGTGAGTTTTAATACCCTGGAACTCACTGATTACTCCAAGGAAAAGCAGAAAGGATAATGATTTTCCAAACATCATTCTTCTGAAAATTGTATCTGTCTTGTCGTTGAACAGCATATTTATATACTTGTAGAAGAAGCGAGTAAGTTTAAACTCTTTAGTTTACTTTATTAATTTCTTTATAATTGTTGTTATTGTTTTAAAATGTGAATCAAATAATGTAACAATTTAAAATGTTTTGTTTAATTCAGATATTTCATTGGTCATTTACCAGAATGAACATTTCGCCTTTCATGTCAAGCGATAAATAGGTAAATAGGGATGTAATGAAGTAGAAAACAAATTAATGTCAAGTCGGTTTGTAAACATGAATTTCAAAAATAGATAACGTCATAGGAAAAAGCTAATCTTAAACTGATCTCTCATGTAAATATGACACGTTTACTTGTGTAACAATATCTCAAAAATTCAGCGTCGCCTTTGATATACACAAAACGAGACAGTAATGCGTAAATGTGGTCCTTGGAGCCTAGATGTCTAATATTAGTATCATAGTATATATTAATTTCAGCATATATGAAAATTTATCTTTTTTTAAGAAATGCATTTGAGCTGAAACAACTACTACGTCAGCAATACGTTATAGGTAGTGTTTAAGAAAAAAACAATTGACTGTTTCTGCAGCTAGTGAGGTCTAGGCATCACTGTGTCGATATTTAAGTGAAGGAGTGAAGTTGAGTATAATTATGTAAATCAAAGTGGAAATTAAACTGGTCAACTTCTTATATATTCATGAAAACTTAGCTGCACTGGAAACACTATCGATTGAATATCACACCACTAAGTATTATGTTAAAATAAGGTGCGAGACAAAGATATGGAGAATCGGTATCGTTCAAAGCAAATAAATAGTGAGAAAAGCTTTCAAAATTCCTAACTGAGAAGTAAAATTCATGTCAAATAAACTATATGGATGGCGTCAGGTTTCAAATATTTTTTAGTTAATTAATAGCCTATCTGGCAGATATACTACTAATAAGTTTTATTATTATTATATTATTGTTCCCTTGGGTTTCTAGTATAACATAGGGCTTCAACTGCACGACTCCACTTGCTTCTGTCTTCTGTTGTACTTTTCACTTGCATCCATTTTAATCCATACTGTTCCAGTTCCTCTTCACACGATCTCCTCCATGTCACCCTTGGATGTCCCACTCGCCACTTCCCTTTCGGGTTCCACTCGAGCTATGGCCTGACGCGCGATGTCGCCCAACGGCCTCCTCAGCGAGTGTCCAATCCATCTCCACTTTCTCCTGCATATTTGTTGAGCGATTGGTTCTTGTTTCGTTTGTCCCCATAGTTTCTTGTTGGTGATTCTTTCCGGCCATCTACTCTTCAGTATAGAACGAAGACAGTTGTTGATAAAGGTCTGCAACAGACTGTTGGAAATATTCTTTGTGACCCGCCAAGTTTCTGATCCGTATAGCAAAACTGACTTGACGTTTGTATTGAAAATCCGAATTTCGTTGTTGATGGTGAGTGACGAAGCTTTCCAGATTGGTTTCAGGTTGATGAATGTGTTTCTCGCCTTCCCGGTTCTCGATTTGACATCCTCGTCCGTTCCTCCTACCAAAATTTGCGAATGGGACAATATTTTGCCATCAGTAATACTTTTCTTCACTAATAAGTATAATCCATTTGTTAATATGAAGTCGCACCAAGGTTTAGGCTTTACTTTTCAGCTGCTAATTATTATTTCCTTTAATTCCTAGAGGAACATAGGGCTTCAGTCGTGCGTCTCCATTGTGTTCGGTTCTCTGCTAGAGTCTTCACCTGGCTCCAAGTCTGCCCACATGCTTTCATCTCCTCTTCACATGACCTCCTCCAAGTCACCCTTGCACTGACGACCAACTCGCCGCTTCCCTTTCGGGTTCCACTCGAGTGATGGCTTGTCTAGTGATGTCACTTGATGGTTTCCTCAGAGTATGGCCAATCCATCTCCATTTCTTCCTGCTTACTTGTTGCACAATCGGTTCCTGGTTGGTTCGCTCATTGCCAGAGATCCCTGTTGCTGATCTTTTCTGGCCGGCCATCTGATCTTGAGTATTGAGCGAAGACAACTGTTAATGAAGGTCTGTAGTTTGTTTGAGATGCTCTTTATGACGCGCTAAGTCTCTGATCCGTATAGTAGCACTGACTTCACATTGGAGTTGAAAATCCGGATCTTGTTTTTGATGCTGAGTGTTGTTGATCTCCACACAGAGTTGAGAGTAGTGAAAGCTTGTCTTGCTTTCCCAATTCTTGCTTTGATATCCTCGTCAGTTCCGCCTGTAGTTGAAACGATGCATCCCGGTCGGTAGGTAAAGGAGGTTGTTTCTTTCAGGTTCCTCCCATTTATGCCGATTGTTGTCTGTTGTTGTTGTTGCTGCTGTTGATGTTGATGTTGCCCAGGAATCTTCATCACCTCTGTTTTCTCTATGTTCAACTGAAAGAAGTCCTATCTTCTCCGGATGCTTGTTCTGCCAACATGTTGCTTTTCGCTTGCATATCTTCCAGTTTGTGGGAAATCAGACGTGTATCATGGGCGAAGTCCAGATCCTCCAAGTTTTTGTGTGAGTCCATTTTATGCCTGTCTCCCTCACTGTTGTTTGTCGCTGTTATCCAATCTACTGCAATCAGGAAAATCATTGGCGATATTGGGCAGCCAGCTTGTCTTACTCCTGTCATCACTTCGAAGGATTCCGTGAGTTTCCCGTTGTGGATTACTTGGCATGCAGCATTGTCGTACAGCTGTTGGATGAGATGTATAATTGTCGGTGGCACCCCATAGTAGCGAAGTAGTTGCCAAAGCACCTCTCGATCGACGCTGTCCGCTGAAGGCCTTTTCAAAGTCGATGAAGTTGAGATGGAGAGGTGACTGCCATTCCAAACTTTGTTCAATGATGATCCGTAGTGTGGCGATCTGATCAGTGCATGAATTATCCCTCTGAATCCAGCCTGTTCCGGTTGAAGCTTTTCATCCAGGGCATGTTTGATTCTCTCCAGGATGATGCGGCTTAGTATTTTGCTTGGGATGGACAGGAGCATAATTCCGCGCCAGTTCTTGGATTGACTTAATTCTCCTTTCTTTGGTAGTTTGAATAAGTATCATTTCTTCCAATCCTCGGGTACTTTGCCTTCTTTCCACACTTTCTCCAGTAGTGGCGTCATCAAGTCCGCTGTTGTCTCTGGGTCCGTTTTCAATGCTTCTGCTGGGATTCCGTCTGGTCCTGCTGCTTTTCCAGCTTTCAGCATCTTGACTGCCTTCAGGACTTCTGATTTCGTCGGAGGTTGATGTTCACTGGTAATTCTGCTTCCTTTGTCGGCATTGTTGGGCGCGTTTTAGGTGGCTGTCGGTTTAGGAGTCTTTTGAAGTGTTCAGCCCGAGTGTTTCCTTTGCTCCACTTCTTTGGTGAGTGACTTTCCATCGACATCCTTCACTGGCTTAATTTGTGACGAACTTTTACCCGAAAGGTACCTACTTGTTTGGTAGAGTGTTGCGAGGTCTCCTTTGCCTGCACTGCAGCTTGTTCTGCTTCACTTGCCATGGCTTCATAATATTTTCTTTTGTCTTCATTGGCACTCTTCCTTACTCTTTTGCTCAGTGTTTTGTAGCTTGCATTTAACTCCTGTTTTGTTGCTCGTCGGTGCACTGGATAATCTTTTGTTTCACCACCCCTCTCTCTTCTATTAGTCTCCAAGAGTCCGTAGTGAGCCACTGTTTGTCCTGTCTCTTCTTTCTGCCTAGAACTTCCATGCAGGTTTGACTCCACACTGTTTTCAAGTTGTTCCAGTGCTTTTCGACGCTGACCTCTTCGCTAGCGTTGATTTGTGTCTTGGCTGTTTCCCTTATGCTTGCAGTGAAGATGTCCTTTGTGTCCTGGTCCTCCAGTCTTTGAGTATTGAACTTGGCTTGTGGTCTATCTGCAGCTCCTGCTTCTCTGAAAGCTTTTAGTTTGATTTGGATTGTCCCTTGGACGAGATAGTGGTCTGAGCCAACGTCTGCTCCTCTTCTTACTTTCGTGTCCAGTAGGCTGCGCCTCCACTTCCTTGAGATTGAGATGAAGTCAATTTGATTTTTGGTTCGCCCATCTGGTGACACCCATGTAGTCTTGTGGATATCCTTGTGTTTGTATACGCTGCCACCAATCACTATTTAATTGAAGGCGCAGAAGTCGGCGAAGAGTTCTTCATTATCGTTCATCTCTCCGAAAGCTTCTTTACCCATGATGAGTTCCCTTCCTGTGTTGCCTGGTCCCAGTTTGGCGTTCATTTCTCCCATTAGTATTTTAATGTCACCAACTGGAGTATTGTCCATTGTTGCCTGTAGTTGTCTGTGGAATTCTTCCTTCTTTTCGAGGTCTGTGCTGTTTGTGGGTGCATAGCATTGTATAACTGACACTTTCCTTCCTTTGGAGTTGAATCTGGCGGTCATTATCCTGGGCGAGATCGCCTCCCATTGCATCAGGGCCTTCGTTGCCGTTGGTGACATCATGATAGCCACGCCCTCGGTGTGCGAGTGGTTATCTTCTGGGTGACCGGAGTAGATCACTGACTCACCCGTTGACAATTTGGTGAGTCCATTCCCATTCCATCCGCTTTCACATATTCCCAGTACTTGAACCCCGTATCTTTCATCTCGTTTGCAATCTGGGCAGCTTTGTCAATCTCGTACATGGTGTGGACGTTCCATGTCCCCACACAGACTTTTTCTTTTGGCGCAAGGAGATTCATCTTGCTGAAGTTTCTGTAGCAGCTCTGTTTACAGGGTGGGGTTGCTAGCCTCACGCCTGAGAGAGGGGTTGTTACTTTAAAATATAGTTTACAGAGAAGTGACCTTGTAAGTTGCTCCCCTTGAAACCAGGAAAACAAGGAATAAAACGATCAGAACAACACCAGCACGGGAAAATAATTCACAACAGGAAGGGCAACAGGCGTCAACAACAATAAAAAAGCTTAGCAGTAGTATCAAAGTCACATACAGTTAACAAAAATCATAGACTCACTGACTTGAGCCAACTTGAACATGTAAATCCATCAATATATACAATTATAATTACAATTATAGATATTAGTTAGTGTTAGACAGTTTCAAAATGGCAACCAAATAGTTATAGGTATTACCGACCAACAAGATTATATCCACAGATTCAGTGTTTTTTTAGCT